TTTAATATTAATTCAAATTGTAAGACAAGAGACATTTTTGAACGTCTGAGTTCTGTTAAATATTTTCGAAAAATTTTATTATTGTTGTTATTATTATTATTATTATTATTATTAGTAGTAGTAGTAGTAGTAGTAGTAGTAGTAGTAGTAGTAGTAGTAGTAGTAGTAGTAGTAGTAGTAGTAGTAGTAGTAGTAGTAGTAGTAGTAGTAGTGTGTGGTGGCGCCCGCACCTTCATAGGCATCAGTGAATTGTGCCCGAGTACATAAGAACTTTGGACAGCACTGCTCTAAAGGGTTCTGACGATGGTGTATAACATCCAGAATTACTAGATTTTCGGACTTTCTCCATCGTCCGGTATTCTAGAAGCTAGAAAACATAGCGTTTCGGCAACTGGGTCTGTTTCCGTTCTCAGGTGATTGGAGAGACACCTACTGTGTTGGGTCTGGCATATTTTCCTGTTATCCGACTCCTAATTAGCCTTGTCTCAGGTAAGCTGTAGTGAATCTGACAGGGGTTGTCCAGTGATTGAAGTTAGCTCTTTCTAAGGGACCCTACGGAGTAGGTGTCTCTCCCCCCCTCACCTGAGGACCAAAACAGATCCAGTTTCCGAAACGTTGTGTGTTCTAACTTCTAGAATATCGAACGATGATGCAAGTCTGAAAATCCAGTAGTTTTGACAACAATGTTATTGTTTGCCCTGATGCATCTGAGGCGTCCATTCTACTGCACAGCTCGTGGTCCCCTGGTAATTCGTCAAACGTGCAGCCGCGTCATCATGTGTGTCCGGCCATATTCGCTAACAGCACAGCGTGCGGGTTTCATTTGAATATCCCATTCTTTGTACTGGTATGTGATGCAGTCATTTCTTTGATACTCATTACTTTCGCGGATGACAAAATACTTGAAAATTTAATTTATTTCTAACTGTCCATCAGAGGTTTAACGTGATAGCCCTTTTTTTCCATTGGCGCTACAGCCCTCATTTGGGCCTAGGCCTACCTCCATGAAACTCTCCGTTTCACTTCGGTTTACTAGATCTTACACATACGGTAGGACTCCTTGGGCGAGTGATCAGCTCGTCGCAAGGCCTCTACCTGTAGACAAACACAGAAAAACGCACACAAACATCCATTCCCTGAGTGGGATTCGAACCCACGATCCCGGCTTCCGAGCGAGCGAAGACAGTGCATGCCTTAGACCGCTCGGCTACCGTGACCGGCGTGATAGCCTTTACTCTGTTTCATTGCTCCTTTCGTAGAGCGTTACATTGAAATTTCTTTTTTGTTCCTTTGCGACATAGCGTATTGAGGGCAAACTTACAATAAAAATGTTAGCTTTGTTTGCGGAAACGTAATTTGCAAGAACCTTTCTAATTACACAAGGTCTCCTTATGGCAAGTTCTCAAAATAGCTCCTAGTCGTCATTAATTACCTTCATAACGCTCTAAAAATAAGGAAATACACAGCAAATGATCCAAGTGCCACGTGGCTTAAAATGTACTACAAAAATTTACTTTCATAATCGTCCTAATAATCACTGTTCTGTTCCTCATTAATATTATCTAGCGTTGTCGCATTATGTGCATGATGGCATAGCTTTTCGCCTTTCGGTACCTGCTTCCCCTCTTCTTTTTCGTCTACGGTAATACTGCCTATATTCATAAGACAACAATAAAAAAAAAGCAATTTATTTCAGCATTTTTGATTTTAAGAAAATCTCTAGCTAAAAATATGTACCTTCACTGGTATTTAATAAATCATTTATAAATTTCTCGTTATATTCATAACCAGCCTTGTTTTTATGAATACTTTTACTACTCTGCCAGGTGTTTGGCCTAATTATTTAAATTATTATTGGGAAAGAGAAACTTAATAATTGTATCTCTTCAACTGAAATTAATTAATGTAAGAAAATGTAATTGGATAGCTACATACGAGTGGGCACTTTGGATACAAAAAGAAAATAAATCAATATATGCTTAATATTAATACTTTAATGAAGAAACTGAAATGATTAAGAACTGTATATTGGACTAAACAGGTAACAAAGGTACAATAAAGGGTTTCGATGAACTTTCGACTTTCCTTATGCTGCGGTGCTTGTTGGTCGGTGGGTTTTGCGATTGATTGGTCACATGGCTAGTAAGTTACAGTACTTTATTACTTACGCAACCCCGAGGAGGGACAGCTCAGCCAGTATAGTGACTAGTTAAGGAATGAAAAATCGAGGTTTGATTCCTGTCACTGGCTGGGGTCTCTCTACCATCCGCCATGTCAACCCCTACCCCTTCCCGGGGGGGGGGGCACCCAGCCTCCTACTCAGTTGATGGTAGGACCTCTTTCTCCGGGAGCAAAGAGACGTGCATGAAACTGGAATATTCAGTACATGAGGTTAAGAATACATAGAGCTATACCTCCACTCCATAAGCTTTCATGGCGTTATGCTTAATTAAGCACAAGATCAATTTTCGTTTGATGTTAATCAAGCATTTTCGTGACATTCGTCCACGTTAAGAAGATGCCTCAAGTTTTCTTGGGATAAAAAAGTTAAAGATATCCCTGTAATAGGCCGTGGAGCCCTATAGGGTTGTGAGACGTCGAGGTTCCCACATTTTCTAGACAATTAGCTCACAAATGGCGGTGAGATTGTCAGCCTTACGCGCCCGCCGCCCTTTACTCCAAAATATATTCCCGATATTCACTTCTGTTAGAGGCTGGGTCAACCCCAGAACCACAGTGCGGTTGGAAGCAATGCAATGACCTCATCGGAAATCGAACCCGCGACTTTCCTGTTTGTAGCATAGTGCCTCAACCAACCACGCTACCGCCTGTCTCTTTTCATGGGATAGTGGGTGAAATATCTTCAGGACGGCAGACCGTTCTGAATTCAATGTACCGTAACTTCTAAAACAACACCCAACTAATCCACACGTTCGAAACGACTTTAGATCAAGTCAATAAAACAATCAGTATTAACCATCCTCGTCTCGACTTTTTGTCACTTGCGCGGTCATACTTTTATTCCATTATTTCGGGGCGACAGCACAGTGCAATCAGTATTGTTGAAATAGCAGTCAGAGCTCTTAACTGAAACAGAAACCGTAACCACAGCAGGAATGCTCAGAGTGGTTGCTGAATCTTCCAGTAGGTAACTTGTAGGTCAGTAGTTCATAGCAGTGTTTTGCATTCCAAAGAGGAGACAATATATGCAACATCTTCGCATGCATACTGTAGTAATATTTACTTTTTGTGGAACGATTTCTTTCTGTGATGTCGGAAATGGAGTACTATTAGAATGCATTACATGCTACATCTGAAGTTGTCGTATCTCCTCGCCTTAGTAATGGAGGAGAATTCAAAGATCTTACCTTTATTTTTTGTTGATTATTGCTAATATTCGGGAAGCAAATACTTTTATTTAAAAGATGTAGCTAATTCGATAACGTGAAAGAAGTTTACTTCTATCATAAGAAACTAAAGCAAAAGTAATATAAAATTATTAAATGTAAAACTTAATTTATTTAAGATCATTTTTATGTTATTGTAACGGATTTAATCAAGGCATTGCCAGGCAACGGTTTCAATGCGCAACATTGGAAGTTGTGTCAAAGTCAAAGTCATGTTGCAACTGACGGTCAGTCAGTCTGTCTGTCTTGGTGTCGAGCCCCAGCTGGGGCTCATGACCAGATGTTTTATTCTTTGTGAAAGTTTCTGTCCTGTCCATTTGGGGCGCCCTCCCTGGAAGTTGTGTCTCAGTGGACGTATGTTATAGCTAATTGCTAGGCAGCAGTCAGCGCGCCAATTAACTAGCTAGATAGCTATGACGTGACTTGTGTTTTCTATGTAGTCAGCGCAACGCCCAATGCTGGTAACGGATCAATGAACTCGCAGTCTGACATGTGACACATGTTTTCTATGGGGTCCGAGCCGAATAATTGAAGGGAGTATAAGGATGAGAATGGAGCATGTCCTTAGTGAATTGTGAAGATTAGTGGAATACAGAGTGACTGAAAACGAAATAACAAGACTTCATAGTAATTTGAAGTGCTAGATTCTGTGTTTGAGATCCGTTGCCAGGAGATGACTAGTGAAGACGAAGAATCTTAGTGCGTATGCAACGATGAACTGAAAGTGTGCAGAATAGCGATAGCGTTATAATTGAGTGTGATTAAGAGAACTTGTAACCGAAGTGCCAATAAAACAAATCATCCGATCTGGAACCCGTTATTTTCGTCACGCATACCCCTCTACACGCGACATTATTCAAGAATATTTTTAGCATAATCTTAAGTCGTTTTCAGAAATACTCTATCGTATTCCTAATTACATCTGTACCATTTGCAACTCCTCGGGGTCTTCAATATTGTCGTAGGCGGTTTAGGTCATTGCTACTTCGCTGGGGAATATCCATGTGCAATAGAATGCTCATTAAATTGTAGTATATTTGGGGGTAAAAAAAGTAAAGCTAACCCTGTAACAGGTCGTGAAGGCCCATAGGGTTGTGAGACCGTGCCAGTATATTCGGGGGTGCTGGGTTAAACTCGACTGTGATTATTTGCTGGATTCCATGACATTAGGTTTTTGTGTTACTGTCGTCATAGTCAAGCTGCATCTTCCAGTTGTCGGCGTTGATTGTTAATCCGATATAAATTCGAGATCTCTGCCGTATTCCTAACGCAATTCGAGAATGAATTCGGGGCTTCCAATGTTTCGGCGTCTGTAATGGCATCGTCAGTCTTGTAATTAATTATTTAGGCCCACCATATACTCATAAAGTATAAGCCATTTTTAAAACATTATTATTACAGGACAGGGGAACTTGTTAGTTGAAATAATAAACTGAGAATGATTAACAGATAAAATATGCAAGTATTTGTGATTTTCATTGCAATGAGAACTCATATTGCGTAGGTGATTACAATGAGTTGTAAAGTACATTATGCAATGATACAATAACCCAGGCCACAATAGTTAACATATTTATCAAATCTCTGTTTCAGTGATTGTGATGGTGAAAAAATGGAGGATCAAATAGAAAATTTGGAGCAGGCACGGAAAATCATCAAAAGCCTTCATGAGAGGTATAGAGCGCAGAGTCACCAACTGCTGGGATGGCGGCGAAGAGTCAAAGCTCAGGTATACTGTTCTCCAATAAATTATAAAAAATAATTACTGGAAGATTATCAAAGTTCAAAGTTCCTGGCCACTGAGTACTGTGTAGTATTCATTATGACAATCTATTCATATTTTTAAACTACAGCAACTTTTATATTCTGTGTCAGATTCATCATTGTCACAAAATTTTGGGTTAATATATCAATAAAGTGCCAAACGTTAACATGTTGTACGGATGTAATTTACGTAGTAGGTCATGAATGAGCGAGCAGTCCTTTTTTTCAATGTGTCACGACTATTCTGTGAGTAGTAATATACGTATTTTGGTGTGGATATGTGAAATGTAGTATACTATATAAAGGAGATGGTTTATGATTGCCTATTTGTGCACATTACTAATATGAGGTGGCATTAAACATTAGCCACAGTGCACCATTCAATAACATATGTAGGTCTAAAAGGAATATAGCAGAAATCAGGAGAAGTTAAACAGTATGAAATCCTACATAATAAAAGACGGGACTTCCTCTAGAATTCTCAACTGATGTTACAGCAGTATTTCTACATATATAAAATTATGCAATCATACTTAAGTTTTGGTGCTCATATACAGTAAAACTTGGTTATAGCAACATCGGTTTCTGCGACACCTTGTCTATTGCGTCAAATATTCAATGGTACGAACTAATTCCTCATAAAGCAACTGTTTTTATACCTTGCTTAGTACGACATGCACAAATGCATCAACCTCGTATGTAACGTCATTTTCATTCCTGAATTTCTCTGATATCGTGGGAAAGTTCGATGTGTCTGCCCACCCTCACTTTCTCTACTTGCTGACGTGACGGTCCTGGAAGAATACGACGGCGGGCTGCAAGAGGAGCGTGGGTTTATGCAAAAACAAGGGTGTGGGGTGGGACTGCGTGAATAGTGCAAGAGGACGCGGCAGGTTGTTAACTGCATTCCTTTCCTAGAATCTCGTCTAACAGGACCTCACATTGTCTACTTACCCTATAGTGTTCCTGCCTAAACCCAGAGAAGTGCAGTAGCGAAAACATGGCAATGAAAAGGAAAGTTTTAAGCATTGAAGAGAAAGTTAAAGTGATTCGTGAAATATTGTGTGTATTGTCAGTGAAAAGCGCTGTAATATGTCTTTGATATTACACATTTGGGCAATTCCACGTTAATGTTACGTTAGTCTGTACTTAACTATGTATTTCACTAAAAAATGCAACATTTTAACTCGGTTTTTGGTAGATTTTTACGTGACTAACATAAGGCTACTGTGGAAGTGCCCATTTCGGTTACGACATTCGTTTATAACGACACTATTTTTAGGTCCCTTTGATGACGTTATAACCAAGTTCTACTGTATTTTTGAATGAATCCTGTTCAAATATTTTGTTAATATGTTATCACGAGGAATGATATAATCAAATGTGGAACTGTGTATACAGTCATCTTCTCCAGAACTGCAAAATTTATGTGAATACAGACACTGAAACTAATGAGTATATGGAACTAGAGGAGTAAAGTTACCTTCATTACCCTCAATCCAGCCAAGTTAGAGGTAAAGTCCAACCAAGAATTGAGCCAATTGCAGTCCTTAGGGTTTGTAAAAGGTAAGTATAGAGCATTACAAAATTATAGTGGTTAGGAGCAATCCAAATTATTTAGAGCACAAGCTGTCCCACTGCCAATTTTCCCATTACAAATCCCCACATAAACTGGACTGGGACTGAACCCTGGTCTCTACACTAAGAACAGCAGGAATCTACCTGTCTGAACTATGATTCACCTATACATGAGTATTTCTTTTTTCTTGGCACTACAGCCCCAGTGGGCCTAGGGCTACCTCCATGAACTTCTCCGTTCACTTCGGTTTTTCTAGATCTTACACATTCGGTAGGACTCCTTGGGCGGGCGATCAGCTCGTCGCAAACAGAAAAACACACACACACAAACTAAACATCCATGCTCTGAGTGGGATTCGAACCCACGATCCCGGTTACCAAGCGAGCAAAGACAGTACATGCCACATGAGTAATTACTGAATTTAAATTGGATGTGCTGGAATCAATATTCATCTTTATGAGATGCGATATTGCCTCTAATGTGGGACAAACAGGCTCCATTAAGTTTGCTATAAATCGTTGTTTCCATTAATGTCAGTCAGCAGCCATAATTATTCATATGGATGTTCATTATCTTTATTAGACTCATTAAAACATAAACATGTCAGCTGGGCAATTTCAAAGTAGCTATCTGAAATATGCAACAAGATATGAGATTTGACTACAGACTTCAGATGCTTCTCCCCTACTACATATTTTTAAAGAGCTTGTTAAACTCAGTACAAGTGATTCTTTTAATCATCATAGAAACTTACTTTGTAAATGTAATGTAATAATTATTCATTTGACACATCATCACAGTTTTTCTTTACTACACTGTACTGCAGACATGTTTTGGTCCCATAGAATTGTACTACGTACGCTACAGTTTACATATCAACCATACTTATAACATTTCTTTAGTGATATTTTTAATAACTGTGGATAATGCCTTATAAGATATACAATTAGTATTTTATAATCATGTCTAAGTAAATGTAATAATTATTGTTAACATGTGGACTCTATGGCAGCGTATATGCAATCACGATATTTCTGTGGGATTGAAAAGCATCTGCTGTGTAGTAGGAAAATAAGGAAGAAAAACTGCAATAAAGTTCTGATAGAATAACTATTACATTACACCTATTTAACAAGTGCCATTTAAACTAACTTTCTATCAATCTTCTTACAGGAGGAATTAGTAGCAAGAATGAACCAGGAAAGGGCAGACCAATTGAAGTCACTATCTGCACAATTGATTCTATTTGAATCTCGATTATGTCGGAAGCAGAAGGACATCAGTGCCCTATTAATACAGAGGGAAACTGTTATTTTGCGTCAGCAACGTACCATCCAGTTACTGCAGCAGCGACTGTCAGATTCAGGACTTGATGCATCCAATTTGGATCTCCCACATTTTGATTCACCAACTGGCGAGACTAATCTTGACTCACTGAATGACAGTGACAGTGCAGTTATCATGGAGGATAATGTCAGCAATGACCAAGATGTTATGAGCATGTTGCCCCGTTTTCGTTCTGGAATTGATGCTGTCACAGTTGTACGTAGTGTGTCTGATGCCGTTGAACCTGGGAACAAATATTCTGCTATGCGTCGTTCAAACGGTTTTCTCAGACGCCCCGAAATATTAGAGACAGTTTACAGTGTGGAAGAAGATGGAGAAGATGTCGCACCTCAAACTACCTCTGTAGGGACCAAGACTGATTCAAACTGTGAGAGCAGCACTTCTCCTGAGGAACCTATCCCACATTATACAGGAGGTTGGGGGAACAGTGGCCGGTTACAAGGATTGTATGGAAGCTTTGAGAGACTTAATGAGACAACTGAAAGGCACAGACACAGACACTCAGAAGAACCACAACAGAATCAAGTCACAACTTATAACAGAGTGATGAGTAACCATCGATCAGTCACCAAACCCAAGGATGTTAAGTACAAACGCATTAACAAGGCTAAGTCTAAATCATTGGAAGAACTGAGGGGTCGCTTAAGGAACTGGGTGGACAAAGGAAACAAGTTAGCACTGTCACTTGACCAATCATATGCATGATGTTGCAATGTCATCTAATACGTGGAAAAATCTGAATGTGAATTTTGTGGCTGTTATTTTCAGTTAATATATTTCCACATATACTTTTATGGGGTTTTTTGTGCAAAACTAAGCTGAAGTACTAAATATAATGTAGATGTGGCATATAATGCATTCAGAGGCAATCTTGGGACAACTATTTAAAATAAACAGTACTATTTTCTGGGATGTGATGCCATGTACTCCACTACAAGTTCAGCCAGACTACATGGTATCACATCCAAGAAAATTACACTCTTTATAATCACTGTTGTGGGAACCTAAACCCAACATAGTTAGCCTCTACGGGGATGCTACTCTACCTAACATCAACAGATCTGTAAAACTTCAAATCAAGAAAAACAAGCTACTCTGTTTCCTGTCCTTCCCCCTGAGGTGTGAAGAACTTAAAGATGAACTTCTCCTGAATTACAATGGTGACGAACCCTAGATGATAATAATATTTATAGTCACCACAGTGTTATCCTCAAATCCAGCTTCTTAAAATATTCCTTGTGTATATTCAATAAAAATTTTCTGATTGTAATTAATATGGTAAAAGTTTTTGTTCATGGCTTGATCCCTTTAGCTTGGAAGACACTTCCAAGCATATAAAAATACATGTCATCCACAGCCATGTTACCATAAAGAATGCCTGTTCTGAAAGTTTGAAACCAAAATATGTTCAGCATGAGAGAGACCTAAAGGTCCATATTTAACAACACCAAAGTAATGTAAGACAGTGTTCTCCTGTTAAATATTGATAGGAGCATGAAGATATACAAACCACACTTAAGTTAGGAATTGTTTCTAAACAAGATATGTACTCATATGTTGGACTCTTAGTTTTGTTTGAAAGGCAATTATTATTTTTATTCATTATTAAAGACATATTTGGCTGTGTTTACTGGATATACTGTACTCATTCACCTGAAATAAGGTACTGTATATTCTATTATAATTTAGGCTTAAATTAAATATATCTGAATTTTAGAATGTAGATAAATATTAAATATATATTTATGAGAAAGCAAAATAATATATACAAAAATGTATATTGCAAAGTTTAACGATACATGCAATCGTACTGTTAAATTATGTACCCAATAAAATTTGTGATTTTTGTAATGGACATCATGACGAATCTAAAGGAAACACAGGTTTACTATAATATGTATACAGAGAATGTTTGAAACAGAATTTCAGAATAATTATGTTACCATTACTATAAAAAACTGTCAACAATATGCTGTCATTGACCTGAAAAGAGCTCAATGACTCAACAGGTTTAAAATCACAACTGTAAATATAAATGTGATTATCCATGATTATCTACAAACATGTTCCTTAAAAACAATATGTAATTCCATCACTTGTAAACTATTAAACTATATCTCTCCAGAACCAAACTTTTTATGAAACAATCTACAAGTAGTATCATCATTTACTCATTAAATTAATACTATAATTTGTATAACTGGATATGGTTCCTTTATTATCAGAACGGAGCTATGCACATGGCACCAGACACTGCTACATCGCATAAAAAGTAAAGTAAAACTATCCCTGTAACAGGGCGTGAAGGCCCATAGGGTTGTGAAACGTTGAAGGTCCCACATTATCTAGACAGTTGGCTCAAAGATGGCGGTAAGGTTGTCAGCATTACGTGCTGGCCGCGCTTTACTCCCCAAGAAAATCATTTAATTAATTCCTGGTACTCATTTCTGTTAGAGGCTGAGTCGACCCCAGGGCCACAGTGTGGCTAGAAGGATTAGGTCAACTGAAAAAAATCCAATGACCTCATTGGGACTTGAGCCTGTGACTTTCCGGCTTGTAGCATAGTGCCTCAACCAACTACAAAAATGTATTTCCTACCAAGAGTGAATAAATAGTATTTTTGGGTGCAAATCTGAATGGAGTTACATGTTTCTCTTCTAATACTTTCTCTTGGCACAATCCAGACTGTCTGATCTCGAAATTTCAAGATGGTTGGTTGTGGCTAATAAAGAATGTATTCAATAAACTAATGGATGCAGTTATTTAATACCTCTCATCCCAGGAAGATAACCTATTATCATTTAAAGTTAGAATTTTTAAAAATACATGATTCTATCACATTTTTATATCATTAAACTAACAGAAATGAAATTTTGGAACTTATAGATTTAAAATATTTATTATCTCATGTGCCAATCAAATTCCAAAATAATATTCTTGTATCTGACACTAAGAATCAGGCTGTTTGATTTGTATCATCAGAACTGCCACATTCTTGCAGTACACACTCAAGATGAATATTTGATACTATATACATTGTTCATACAGCATGTCAGTGCTGTATAATCTTTAGATACGGACAGCATCATTAATTAAAAAAAGGATAAATAAATTAACACAGTATGTTTTCATGTGATAATGAAGACTTCAAAGGGCACTCTGTATATGAACATAGAGTGCCTCGTTATTACATGCCATGTTTTACAAGATGGATTCTGGGTATCAAAATAAGTAACCCTTCGGACCTTCCTTGAATACTTATAATCATTAGAAGACGTCAGCTCCTCTGACAATATGCTGTAAAATAGACAATTTGGCATTTTCTTTGCATTGCTTGGTGATCATTCAGGTCCACTTGACTTTGAACTTGTGTTGAAGTTTACAATACATCTTCAATCTTTGAATGCCTGACAGTTTATTTTTCATACAGTTTTACTGTCCTTGAATATGAGGGCAATTTCAAGTATCTCGTGTACAAAAGCAAAAATAAAAACAGTAATATCTCTTTTGTTTGTTTCTTCTTATACCACGCACACAACCTATTACACTTAAGGTGTGAGCATAGAAGTTGAAATTCAAATAACTGCAACTTTTTAAGGATGGCTCTCAGCATACATATGATTATTTTTTATTTAATTCTGATGTCCAGATATCATCCTGTAAAATATGGCATGCAATAATGAGACACTTGTATATACATGAAATTTGTTCTTTTATATGAGAGACCTGACTATCTGTTTTGGGTTGCTATATATTGTCTTAAAATCCCATAGTCAAATACAGTGCATAGGCAGTCTAAGATGGTAGGCTCAAAAGTAGGAAAGTTTTCAAATTTGCAAATTTAGAATTTAAATGATATCTCAGCTCATGAAATTCAGTATTTAATTTTATGTCATTGCAGGCTGATTCCAATCTCTTATATTTGTACAGAATGCTATCTTTCAAGGGCTGTGTCATAACTCAGGCAGTTGGTTGGTTTCCAATGCAGTGTCCTGGTTTTGATCCCAGGTAAGGCCATGTGGGATTTGTGATGTACCTAGTAGCACTTGGGTGAGTTTTCTCCCAGTACTTTCGTTTCTCCTGCCAATTCTCATTCCACCAACTGCTTTACTTTCATTAGTCAGCCCATCATGAAAGCTATACAGTACTGATACTGACAGAACTGTTAAATAACCAACTTACAAAAAATCTCTCAGATATTACCAAGGTCAAATTTGGATAACAATATTAATTAATTCTGAAGATATGTAACTTCAAGAAGTAGTCAAAGTTCCAAGAGGTTTTGTAACACAACTATGGGACAGATTAAAAATTATGTAGATGGTTACTTGTCAGTCATGGCTAGGGCAGATTAACAAAAGAAAACTCAAGGTAAAGATTGTTAAAAGGCATTAAACCCTATCTGGCCATCTGTAAACGTACAATTTATTTAATATTAAAAACTGCATTTATCCCACAGGTACATTTAAGGGTTCTATACAATTCTCATAGAGTGAAATTATTTCTCACAACAGCATTACTCATTTGGTCTCTGTTCTTTTTGGCATAGTAGCTCAATTTGTAACTATTACTTAGATAAGCTTCTTGTTTCAGATGCTTTGGAGGTAACTAATTTGTCCTCAGTCACATAATAACACAACACTGAAATGTTCTGTCAGTCAAGAAGTTTATATTTATAACAAATTGGAGTGTACTGACTTCTAAAAAGAATGGTAAAGGTAAAGCTGCCCCTGTGCTTAATTAAACACAATTCAGTGAAGATGCATGGGGGAGTGGAGCTACAGTTCCACACATTCTTAACCTCTGCGCTGGATATACATAGATGAACAGTTTATCACAACACCCTTGTTCAGAGCCAGTTCATATCTTCACTACATATTTTCAAAGAGCATAAAAAATCAGGAATTTAAATAAACCTTAATAATAAGACCTCTTGCACCTTTCAACATAGTGAACATAAAGGTCAGTAATTAAATACAGTTAGCACCTCGTAACTTTAGCGGTGTGGAAAGGTAAACGCTGTTGTGGAGCGTGCAAACCTGTACGCTTTCTGTGGTGACGTTCAGAGCTACTCCGAGCGGAAAGCACTGTCTATGGAGACCAGGAGTAGATACACACTGTACTATATACACCTGACCACACTCAAAGACACTACATTCCAAAGTGGTAGTACCCACGCTGACGTATGCTGATAAAGACTGCTCCCCCAGCTCCATGAGAGATGGTACGACCCCTGTACCATGGCTAGAGTTCCGGGGAACTAACAGTACATGGAATAGGGTTCTTCTTGAGAAGGTGACAGTCACTCAGTTAATCCAGATATTCACTAACTTTTATGAAGTTCACAGGTTCACTGCTGTGTTCATGAGAGCTGAACACTGGATCCTCTCCTGAGCATAACAAATCCAGTCCACACCCTTCCACCAAATTTGTTCCAGGATCCATTTTAATATTACTCATCTATTTATGTCTCCCTCTTTCATGTTTCTAACTAAAATTCTGTATACATTCTGCATTTCTCCCACATGCATTTATATAGCCCATCCACCTCATCCTCCCTGATTAGATCATTCAGCCATATGGTGAAGAATGCTATTAATGATGGCCACAGAATTAAAAATTGCATGGTTTCATTTTTATTTCTGATTTTTTTTTTTTGTAAATTGACCAATTATCAACTGACAATGTCGCAGTGCTTAGAAGTATATTACATATTCATCAAGGACCTACACAGATTTTTAAGACTAAACTACATGTCACGCTGTACAAAGTAGATATGGAAAGATGTTTTATTATGTAAACTAAAAATTCACTTTGATTTGTGCTTGTGTATTGAACCAAATGCTCTTCCTTAGAGACACAGTTCTTGCTAAGAACACTTTCTGTGATCATTCAGTTAAATACACTTATACCAGAATGTAAAAAACATTCATTCTAAAATGAAAAAAAATTATAATGCTGCACAGTTGTTTTAAATATCAGTAAGCTTATAAGAGAATGTGAAAAAAAAAAGTTGATATGGATACCAAATACTATATATTAAACCAAACATACACTGAGCATTTTCCGTCTGTATTTGGTTAAAATATATAAGGTTTTGGAAGCGGGCTCTGCTTCTGTCAACAGGAAAAAGTATGAAATATACTCTGTTTGGTCCATTAAATTGAGCTGATTTTTATCCCCTGATTACCTCAATCTAATGGACCTACCAGTGTGTTTCATATTTTTACCTGATAATGGAAGCAGAGCCACCTTTTGAAACACTGTTTTTAACAAAAAAATGAGATGATTGAAAATGTCCAACATATATAGCAGTTTAGTAACACACATCTGTAACATTTGCAGTTACAATACAAATCACAGCATAACGTGATAGTAAAAACTGATTAGCTCTCATCAAACAAACAGTCACCTCACAAGAATTGAACACAGTTGTAATAAGGCTTCAGGATGGAAATTACTGGTTCCTTGACTCACCATAATATATTAGCATCTTACATTCACTTTTGCAGCCTTAATTTGGTGCAGCTAAGTTACAAAAATAGGAATACTCAGTTTCAGTTTGTTAAAACTTATGGCACTTTGAATACAATAAAGACTAAATTTTAATTTTTGGTCTATGTTAAATCAATGCACCAATTCTAAACCTTATGCTTTCAATAAAATGTGATTCCTCCAAACCTTATTTGTATGTATCTGTAATTCAATCATTTTGTTGAAGCTCTTAAAAAAAATGAAGATGCTGGAGAAAGTGTCGTGTCCCTATGCAAAGTTTCATAAGTATGTGCATGAACAGTCTACCATAAAAAAGGAATTACGAGCATTTTTCAACATTACACATCGTTTGTTCTTTCAAAAGAAGCTGGATTATTTACCAAGTATTAATTACTCTTCTCAAATGCATGTTGACTAACAACAACCACACATGGCCAATAAATAAAGCTTAGTCTTCTTTTCCTCTGCCTCTGCACACCACTTCCTTACAGACAAACTCTTCATTTTTCAGACTGAACACATCCCTTAAACCAGAGTGACATCCTAGTATGTGTACTATTCCGTCTGCAGCCACCCGCTTAAGCTGGTTCCTTGCTTGCGGATTTTTCTTCCCTGAAGATGCCATTCTTCATATTCAGTGGCACATTTCTCACAATATCTCTAAAATATTATGAAAGTCTATATACAACCTTTGAATGTACCTGGTTCTCACCCTCCTCCATGTCAGCCAGCACCACTAATTCATTGTTATCTAAGTCATTTAAGACTCCTTCATTGTCACTCACTTCACTGCTACTTGAACTGGAGGCATCAATGTCATCATTGTCATCGATATCTCCCAACCCTTCATCTGGCAAAAGGAAACCTCCATCACCAACAGGTAGGACAATGTAATTTTGTATGTCACCTCCACCAGGGTTTGCCAGACCCAGTAAATGTAACAACCAATGAGGAAATGGTTCGATATCATCTGGCAAAATGATGTCATTATCATTGTCGAAGTCTTCTGCTGCAGCAAGTAATGGGATTAAATCATCAGCAGGATCAAGAGCTTCAACTGGTTCTTGAGGGGGCTGAATTATGGCTACAGCATTATTCCCTTCTCCATCACGGTTGTTATTTGCAACATCTCCATTCTCAACAACAAGAACCATAGGATCATACAGAGCCTGATGATGATGCTGAAACAAGAGTCCATCATTGTTATCAATGTGATCTCTCTCTTCACTTGATTCAGACTCATAATATTCAGAATCCTCACTGTTTTCTGTTAGGATCTCATCACTTTCTGTAGAGATTTCATCCACTTGTTCAGGAGTTAAGTCCATATCCATGTCTTGCACCGAGAATGAATTTGGATATCCACTATCTACAGCCTTATCATTCTGCTCATCCACACTGCAACTTTCAACTAAACTTCTCTCCTGTGATGATTCCTGTACAGATGAACTAGCACTACAAAAATTCAAAGGCTGGCCGATTACTGCTTGTGAAGTAGAACCGTCTACCGTTTCTTGCTTTAAATGGAGATTCAACAATTCAGCAGATAAACTTTCTTCTGCATGCAAAACCTGGCAGACATTAATCAATTTTTCAGTATTTCTGTTAGAACTAGAATACTGACTTGATAAATTTACATTTGAACTCTTTAACTGGCTAGCCTGGAGCTCCACATGTTGAGAGTTTTGAAGTTTTCCAATTACCTTCCTAGATTCAGAACAGGGACACAAAATGTCCCCCATCTTTTTGTGCTTTTGTGATTTATGATCTGTTAAGGCCTCACTGTTAGAATACTTTTCAAAATCTAAATCAAATTTTTGTGATTCAACATTTACAGCATTAACAGATTTACAATTCTGAATGATTTCTGAAAACTCAAAACCCTCTTTACTGGCACTGTGTCCTACAAATGGGGTAAATGTCTGTTCAGCACTGAGTTCAGGTTCCAAATCTGCAAGTGATCGGATGTCAGTGTTATCTTTACTGTTCAGAGCTGCACTAAAATCATGAGAATGCTGCAAAGTAGACTGTATCAGCTCCTCTGAATTCTTTGCACTCAGGTGACCGCCATCAGAAACAGATATTTCACACTTACCATTTCTGATACACCCACTACACTCCATTAATTCATCTTTTCTAGTTTTACAAGAATCACTTGAATTTCCTATAACATCCTGTAATTCTGTTCTTCCAGCCCATTCCAATTGCATGTCACACTGAGGTTCAATGATGCCACATGACCAATCATCCACACCCTCCACAAAATGAGATGTCACATTGTCATCATACTCATGAAACTCTGACACATCCCAGTTCTCTTCCTTATAATCTGCTACCTGCACCTGCTCATTTGCCATTCCTTCTTCCTGTTCTTCACGGTATAAGAACTCTGATTCATGGGTAGAACTCTCATACTCTCCATAGTATGGATAGACGACAGCTACATCATCTTGCAATTGTCCTGTCACTTGCCAGCCAGCATCTTCCAGAATATTTCTACAGGACAAGAATTCCAACATTTCACAAGAAAAGTTATCACTAAATAAAAATCATATTGTTATCTATCCTGTAACAAAAAAAATGTAATTAAAACACATGAATAATGGCCAGGTTAATACCAGATGAGCTGTACTTTACTCTACAAACTAGAAAAATGGTGATGCCATGAACCTTTGAGGATATGTAGGAACAAATCATATACCACAATCTTGAATATGTATTAGACTAGATCACTAAACAATATGCCACTACTGTACAGACACATCTGTCTCAAACAAAAAATAAAGTAATACTGATATCAGAAATTGTTTCTTGTTTGATGACATATGATCAACAACTGTAATGAATGAATGAATGACTGTATAAGGGGTGGGCCTTCTCAGCCCTTGCACCGTGACCTACAGTGATCTATTGTGCCTTTCAACAACTGTAAGCTAATACATCAAATTGGATATCATAATCACATTAAAAGAAAAGTATATTAAACATATTTTGTACCGGAAAAGCATTATAATATATGATGGTAGTGTAAATGAATGCTATATTTCACAATAAACAGAAGTCAGTCTGTATGTGGTTGGGTTGTATATAACTACAATTACATATCAAGGTTTTCAATCATGCTTTAAAAATAAAAACTACCAGACCTACACAAAAGTATAAGATGAGATTATACAGATTTTTTGTAAGTTTCCTTAAGTATATTCTCCTTTTTAACATAATTTTATTCATGTTTTGTGCACAGTTCCTGTACTGACTTACCGCAGCTCTGATGTTGAATCACAAATATCCACGTGCGGCAGTAGATGCCGCAATGGAATCCGGATGCTCATATCACTACAATACTTCTCATTACTTGCCAACACCCGAATATAGTATTCTGCCTCATGAAGGATTTTCTCCTCATTCGTACGGTTATCAATGTAGAATGGATAGTCATACTTTCTCACAGTGAGATATGTCTCTTCACATTCTTCCACCTTAAGGCACAGAAAAATTCTATTGCTTAAACTGATTTTAAAAGATGACTTGCTGCTAGATCCCAAATTACTAAACCAGTAACGTGCTAAGCAATAAGAAACGCATACAAAATTTGGTCAGGAAACATCAGAGGAATAGACCATTTTCAAGATGCAGGTGTATATGGTTCTGATGGGCTCTGTGAACACAGTAATGAACTTTTGGGGTTCCTCAATTAAAGATGGAGAATTTCTCAGCTAGGTGAAAAACAATAAGCTTCTCAAAAACAATTCTTCCCTCAGTAGTTATGTGTAAAATGTCAGAATGTCAAAACTGTTCACAAACTTAATACACATTCTGTTCATTCTGAATCTAAAATTTAAAGAAAAGCATCTACCATTATAACACCTGTTCTTGCATAAGGAAACCCTCCATTACTATATGTAGGAAAGTAATTCAATTTTGGTCAATACCATACAAGTAGGGCAACCACTTTGTGTGAAATTAAATATTAGTCCTTTCTAAATGTACAAATGATAACTCATTGGAGCAGAGTGGTTTTTGAGAAACTAACAGTCTCTCAGTTAGTCAAGAAATTCCCTGCCTTTTATGGAACCTGAAGGTTCATTATGATGTTCACAACAGCCACAATTTGTATCTATCCTGAGTCAGACGATTCAGTTCACATCCTCTTACTCTCTTTAACATCAATTTCACATTCTTCCCTCTTTGACTAAATCTTCCAAGTGGTCTCTTCCTTCATGCTTTCCAACTAAAATTCTGTACATATTTTTCATGTCCCCCATGCATGCCACATGCCCCATTCATCGCTCAGCCATAATTTTATCATCTAATATCTGACAAGAACAAATTATGAGACACCCCATTATGGTAAACAAATGATAAGAAACTAATTTTATTTTTACTGTCTTCTCACAGAAGATGCACAATTCTTCTTCTACAGCTACTTTCATTTCCGCTCATACTTCGATTTTGGCTATATTTTGGACAACAGCACAAGGGCCACATTCATGTGTGAGTCTTGCTTTCACTAATAGCTGATTGGTAACTTCTATAGCACAACATTCTTTCTTCACACTAACAACCAAACTGACATGTTTGGTTTGACTGTGAAAAGCAGTACCTCCTGGGACATCATACTGTGTAGTACACTCACATGTTCAGTGATGTTTTGGAGGAACATACTGCCTCCATCTTGAGAGCTAAAGAATAAGCCAAGTACGTAGCCAGCAAGGAGGAGGCAGCAAGCAAGCTCTGCTTGTCAGCTGCATATTTTCCTCTAAAACATGGTGAAATTCTACTGACTACATGACACTACATCCCAGAAGATAGTACTCTTGATATATGTTCCTTTATGCCTTCAACCAGAATCATAATCATATCAAATCAGAACCAAACCAATGAATTAATTACGCACAACACAATAGTCATTAGGTTTACTACACCTAAGAAAATACATAAAACAGAACATTAACGAGCCCATAAAACTGCCAATAAAATAATATGATCAGGGCTGGGAAACCTTTTGCAGCCTGTGGGCCAAAATGAGAATGATGATGATGATCAAAGAAGTTGGCTCAAGGGGTAAATGCTCTTGACTTATATTCAGGATATGCCAAGTTCAAAGCTGGACCACCAACTATCCTGACTGAGATTTATCATTGTTTTCCATGGACTCTGAAAGTAGATGTTGCAACAGTACCTCAGGCAAGGCCACCGCTGCTTCCTTCCATATCCTTTTCAAGTCATTATTCATTATCATTCTATCATCTGACATCATACAGTCTGAGGTACTGACAGCATCATTAAACAAACCATAAATAAAATATCAATGATACTGTGACGTGGATGGCGCAATGGGAAGTAGGGGTCACGTGAACTCTGTGGTCTGCAAGTGACATCACATACCCCCACCCCTTCCATTACCACACAATGCTTGGTAAATACCCCCTCCGCCAGCGGTGATGTGGCAGCGCTTCCCCTGCGGTGACGTAACATGGGACACCGCGGTTGCTATGCAGCAATAAACAACTCTTGGCAGTGTTGTCCAGCAATGCCTTTGTAAACACAGCAGGGAGTCTGGGCAACGACTGTTACTAGGCAATCGGTAAACACGATGTTACGCAACAGTGGTCCCTATTACATAACTGTTTTCTGTGTTGTCCATACCGAGGCTACACTGCGCAAGGGCATAAATTTTACTTGTCATTTTAATTAATTTACACTAACAATTTTTATATTAAGAACTGATATGGCTATACAGAACTAATATTTGTGTGGTAGCTTAAAGTGAAAAAATAAACATGTTTATATTGCTCAACTTCACCAGTCCTCTACTTCCAATAAAATCAAATGCAGGCACAGAAAACTGAAATCTATTATGTTGGCTATATCACATTGAACCGATACTTCTCCCGTCTTCACCCGACCACCACCAAGCATCGGTCAAGTCGGGAGCGGTTCGTCGTCTCTGGCCCTCGCGTCATGTTTACAATGCTCCCTAAGATCATCGTGGGAAACCAAGCTCGCAGAGGAGAATCATTGTAGAAGTCAATGACAGACCCACAAAATAACAATAACAATGTTTAATAAACATAAAAACAAGTAATGACAAAAATACACAAAAAATACATATATAAATAGAATAAGCCTGGCTGAGTGTCTGCACTCTACATTAATCCGCACCTCGCGGCATCAACTCAACAACCTGCCCAGTGGCATTTGAATACAAGTCCCTTCCTAGTCACATGCGGCATCAAAACAAATACACTGAATAACTAACTTGAACTGGTCCGCCACAGGCGGCATCAAAAAATTACATGTCTATATAACACAGGCTAAGCAAACCTCACTCACAGGTGGCCTCAAGAAAATAATATATATATTTATACAAAAAACTAACTCTCGTATCGCCGCCACGCCATCGCCCCGATAGCTGGTGACTATAAACCCCAACGTCTGCGGCCAGACCCAGAGTATGCCGAAACGCAATTTTGAAACAACACCCCTCTGAATTGAAATTTAGAAAATATTCCTGGCTGGTCAGCAGACGTGCTTACCCAAGTGGATCCACTTATCAGACTAACCCTCTTCTCCCAAACATACTTCTTTCCTAGACATGGGTAGAAAGGGTGGGAAAATCACGTGGTATTGGGGAAGAGGAGGAGGGGGTAAGTTCTAGGACCTCGGGCGAAGGGTAGCGTGAGAGATATGGCTGGAAGCCATTACGTCACGGAAGGAGCCATTGCTTTAGCACGGCTCAACATAACAAAACAAAGCTAAAACATCTTTGGACAGAATAAACTGTATTTCATCAAATTATGACATTAAATCAAAACTTACAACACTAGTGTAAAAAGTTAAATTTCACATTGTGGCATGTTATCTGTCAAAATGCTTTAAATCAAATATTATCAGAGAATGAACAGTGCTTCAGCATCCCATAAACTTCAGCCTCTACTGTTTGGTATATTGTTGTATTTGACAGTGAAACAAAATGCATATATATAGTACTAGCACACAACAGGCTACATCCTTTAAAGATTTTCCTCTATTATTTCTATTGTTACATACAGAAGAGCTGTGTACCTCCAGATCTTGATGGTGGGATGCCAAGTGTATAAGAGGAGTAGGGGTGTAATGAGATAACTTAACAAACACAGCCATCTGACTACAGCAACCATGTTCTTCAGTTCCTTTTGGTCCCTGACCAACACCACAGAATTTAACAGTATATGCTGGATATCGTGTTGTGATGTTAGTTGCCCTTAAAAACAATCAATACAAGAACATTTTTGGTACGAATCTGAAAAAACATGCAAGTCACAGAGTAACTGATCAAACTTCTGCTATTTCACACGAATATTTTTCTGCATATTATCATTCTGAATTTCATTCACAAGAAGCAGAAACAACATACCAGTCACTCTGAGTAGGCAAACTGAAAACAAGTCGTTTGAGCTGTTCCTGTATTCTGACACAAACTTGGAGAAAATTTTAACACAATAAAAGAAATTCTCATCTACGTGGGACACAAACCTGCATCTCATGACTGATATAAAAATGTTCTTCCCAGTTGAGCTAAGAGACCAAACACCTCACATAAGTACCTGCCTTGTCAACAGATGTGAATTTAGTCCTTGTTAGTTATTAGCCATCTTACATGTAACTTGCTTGTTAAAACCTTTAATAGTTTTAAAGTTTAAAATCTCTTCTACATCACTGGTATATACGCACTACAAGTTTTGGTCAGGACTGGTCATCTTCAGGTGTCTCTAGAAATGCAGATGAAATTGCTGTACTTTGGTCCGTAAGTTCAATTTTCGAGACAAGCCCTCGTCTATGCGCTCATGTGTCCTGTGGTGCTGGCTAGTTCCTCTTATTGTTTCATGTGTACCTGTAACAGCTAATAACTAACAAGGAATAAATAAGTGATGTGCAACAGGATGCTACAATACAATATAATGTGAACCAATGTTCTACCCAACAAGAATCCTGTACATATATACAGAGGGGTTCAAAAAATGTACCCACTCTTTGATAGTCAATATCTCTGGAACAAAATGACATGTAGTTACCATTCTTGCGCGGAGAGAGAGTCATTGTATGCGTTTGAAGTGACCACCATCAGCAGCTAAACAGCGTCGATGCCGCCGAAATGCTGAGCGAACTACGGCTGTCAGTGTGTCCGATGTGATGACTGCACATGATGCTTCGATGGTTTCTCGTAGCACGTTCAGTGTAGCTGGCTTTTGTCAATAAACTTCATCCTTCAAAGTTCCTCAAAGGTAGAAGTCGAGAGGTGTTAGGTCTAGAGACTGTGGTGGGTACTCAATAGCACCTCTTCGACCTATCCATCGTCCAGGTAGAGTGCCATCCAAGTATGTCCTGACTTTGCAGCCTTCAGAATTCATCGTACACTTGATCGGCTTACTTCACTTTCATGTGTACACTGATTCACAGATTTTTGCAGTGATCGTGTAAAGTGTTGCAACACCACAGCAATGGAAGCTGGACTTGTTACTATCCGTGGTCACCCATTTCTTTGCTTATGCACATCATGAACAGTACTGTCGGCTTCAAATTTATCCCAAATACGGGTAACTGTTCGACATGTTGGTGGCACAATTCCAAACTCATTCTGCCATTGTCGTTGTACCTCTTTAATGTTTTCATACTTCCAGTACCACTTCAATACAGCCTTGTGTTGCTCAAAGAACAACATTTCAAACATTGCTGCTGCTGTCTTCTGCTGGCATGATACTCACATGACTCATGTGACCTTCTACATCTGTTGACAAAACATTACACTACACTACTGCACAAGAATTGTAATTACATGTCATTTTGTTCCAAAGATATTGACTATCAGAGTGAGTACATTTTTTTGGAGCCCCATGTGTATATACACATACTGATGTAGTTCAGAAACTTAAAGAGATATGATTAAATTGAGTTTTACAGCCATAAGCACTTTAGAACTGTGAACGTGTAAACAGTTAAGGTATTAAACTTGAATTTGGCTTCAAATTTCAAACAAGATTTCAAAATTCTGTCTTATTTTGTTTACTAGGATTGGGAATGTTGCAAATTAATCTCTTGGCACATTTCCAGTTGTTTCATAGCCTACTATTATTGAACACATAAAAGGGTTTAATTTGTATTCAGAAAGTATATTTGGTTAAAATATATGATTTTCTTCATTGCTCTGGGTGGGTTTCCCTGCCCCTTCAAGCCAATTCCATAACAAGACTTTAAATTAGGCCACCAAATCACTGACAATTCATAATTCACAATCAGTCTACTATTTATTGTCCTATGTCAAGTGAATTCAGTAGCTGATACCAACCTAACAGAACATCTTGATCTCTAAATCACAAGTATCAGTACACTGTTGGGCCCGTGTTCTCGTGTATGTGTTTTAATTATTTAATGATGAAGAGACAGTGGCAATCATGATGTGAAGATTTCATAACAGGTGAAATGACTTACATCATTAGTGTGTACATTCATAATGTTTTGGCTGAAGTGGCCATAAGCCTCATCAATATAAAAAAGTAAAAAAGTCAAAGTAAGTTGATGCCCCAAAGTATGAACCTGTTATCCATTGAAAGAAACTGATTCTGTTGCACTCACCTGTTAAATTGGATGTCATGTGTTCAATCCACAATCTAAATTGCTACAGTGGTCTATCACATATATTCTCACTGAGATCCAAGACCTGGCATTGCTCAAATCTTGGTTATCAATACTAAACTAAATATATACCATCTGACAGCTAATTATCTTATAACATACAAACCTGGGGCAGGTTTTCCCCCCCGAGTACTTCGGTTTCCCCTGCCAATCCTCATTCCATCAAATCTCCATAGGCATTACCACCAGTAAAGGTACAATAGGACATATGGAGGATTTAAGACCACAGAAACTGTTTTCAAGACTAATTATACTGTCATATTATTATCTCTGTATTACTATATTATTATTATTATTATCATTTATTATAATTTGGCATACTATTTCTGTATTATTATATTCTTATTACTATTTAGTATTAGTATTAATATTAATCTTTGACTTGTCCCATATCATGTATAATGATTCATGGATGAAATAAAATTGAATTGAATTTGAAATATAAAAACAATGCATTTTCAAAAATGTATTTTGCTTTACTGGAAAGGCACTTAACATATTTTCAAATGTTACTGGGGATAAATAATATATAAATAAGATGTAATACTTAACAAGAAGTCATACCAATCTTCGAACTGAACTCGTGACCATTCAAATTTGTGGTCAGGATGCCTGAACCCAGTGAAATTTGGGAAAAGCACATTGAAGTCCAAATTTGGTGTTGTAAAGATGCTGATAAGTGGCTGAATGAAACCAAATACAGTGTGGGGTACAGCTTCAAGTGTATCAGGATACAGATGCTCTATCCTGAAAAATAAATTCTAGTCCTTAGATTCTGGCAGCTGGAATTTAATGTGTGACTTCAACTTTCAGGACTAGTCCACATTAAATACTGAAGGTTTTTCAATATTTCAGTAAACCTTCTAGTAGCCACCTTCAGAGTTAATGCCTTTGGGAAGTTCTGGTTGCTTTTATATATTTCTTGTAGTGGATAGTGTGTCAATGAAGCCACAACTGAATGAACAGAGGAGCAGGATACTGATCAATAGGAAGAAATCACAAAACTGAACCACCATCATCCAACAATTACTGAACTCCCTTTCCTATCGTTATGGATAAAAAGAGAATAATAGGTATTCTATCACTTTCTGTCCTAAGCACAGAGTAGTTGAATAATTTTTTCCCACCTCTTCTAAAGATCATCTGATCACCAGGACTTTTTCACCACCTTTTTTTACTAACCATATGGTTCCTCTCTATTGGTTAGCATCTTCTCTATTTGTCCAGTCATGGCTTCACCTCTGATACAACACCTAAGACAAGAGCTAGATAACACATGCCAACAACTCTCACCAAAATCACTAACCATGAAAATGGCTATGGCAAAGTTTGCTGAAATGTTGAAAAAACCTTCAGTATTCAATGAGGCCTAATCCTACAAGCAAAAATCGCAATGACAAATGTTTTGTTAAGTTTCATTAACCATTACAATGTAACAGCCAATGCAGTAGACATTATCAACTTCTACATTTTGATAGTTTACTTACAATTCAATGCATATTACTGCATCTGTTCCCAATAAGCGAGGGTCCTTATCTGCAATACTTCCAGCAAAAACATGAACTGTTAAAGGCTCTTGTCGATTATCCAAATAGTCGGCCTTAAGGGGAGCTGCTCGACAGCAATAGTAATCCAACATTTCACGGTCAATATCAATTGTCATCAACTCTTGCAATCCGGGAATGTGCTTTATGTAGGGAAAGAGCCCAAATTCACCACATCCGAAGTCCACAACCTAAAAGTGTCACTACATATTACACTATGTAACACTCTTAACGCCAACAGGCTATGCTACCAATATTGCTTCACTAGTATCAAGATTAGTCAGTGTGAGAAAAACAAACCTACCTTTTTAATTTTTCCATGCCACCTTTCATCTTGTAATATGTTTTTCACTGCTAAGTATCTCTGAACATAAACCGGAGGAAAAAACCGTATACCTAACCCCGGTTCAAATTCAGCCTCACTGGTGATGTCAATATTAAGAATAAAATATGAATTTGTCTCCTGTTCACCACTAACATCTTCAGCCTTACTAAAAATCGATTTAGAAATTACCGTCAGAATACATCTTGTCACTATACACAACGTATGGAACAACAATATCATTTCGATACAAAACCTACAACTTACAAACTTTCCTCCATACTTAACATCGCTCAACATGCCTTCAAATAAGGGAAATTGTCAGTTTCGCCAACATTCTTCACTCGTGGTTTCGAAATGGATTTATAGCGAGCATTCTTGTAAATATCTACTGTAACCAGTTACGTTACTTTTTTTTTTTTTTTTTTTTTACTTTTCAGTTGCAGTAAATAATGTACAACAGATTAGTGATAATAACGAGAAAGAGAGTTTTAGCTTGTAAATGAGTAACAGTTGGTGAGCCTGCTGAGAATTTCTTTTGTGCATTTTCGTCCGTTTCCGTCTTCAGCCGGCTGAACGGGTTTTGGGTTAAATTATATGGATTTGTTGCATGATCGTAGAATTTTTGCAGTCGTATCTATATGTTACATGTGCTTCTTCGGAGCAGGGGAAGCGCCGTATGTATCGTCTGTATCGGTCTGTATAGCGACTGGCTACGGGCTGGACGACCGAAGAGTCGGATTTCGAATTCCGGTAGGTTCAAGAATTTTCTCTACGTCGTCCAGACCGCCTTTGGGACCCATCAAACCTCCTGTTCAACGATAACCGGTGATAGAGCAGCTGGAGCGCAAAGCTGACCACTCACCTCCAACTAAAGCAGAGGTCGAGGAAACGCTGATCTGTACATCTGCTTCCTCATACGTCTTCATGGCGTAGTGCTTAATTAGCTAAGCAAAGGGACAACTTTACACATGCTTCATCTTCCATAAGGCCTCGAAACAGGAGCTTTCAGCAGCATAATCACTTGGAATTGCCATGCATATATAATAATTACGACCAAGCACTAGCATGAAACCATTAGTCTACTTGTTCCTTATCTCGGATGACTATTGCAAGGAATTCAAGAATGCTTATATGTGACCTGCTTGCAAGCGTGCTGCCCATCTGTACCTAAGAGCGTATGCCACGATTCATTGTTTTGTGTTCCTTTGTCTCGCCTAAGGTGGTATAGTCATCACGATGATCACGATCATCACGATATTTAGGGTCATTCTGTGGTTCACTTGCTCGTGTGTAACTCCATTCCCGTAACTCGAAAGTGCAAGAGGAACCATGGCTCAGCTAACCCACCTGTCAAATTCATATGTTTGCCTTCTATGACTCATGGCAGCGTTGGTATAGTGATCCGTGCAGCAAATCATCTATGGTTCGGCTGGTATTGGTGCTTATTATTATTATAATTATTATTAATGTTGTTTTGTTTTGTTGCAGCTAGTGGTAGGACTGGTAGTATTTTGTCTTGAAAACGTGGTCATCTTGTAGCTCCGTTGGGAAGGTTGGGAATAACATAACCAAGAAAGAAAAGGTACTTTTTCTGTTGATAGGAATATTTGGAGTTAATGTATGAAATACATCTTGCTAGCATCCTGTCTGCAAATATTCTACAAATATAAAGTTGCACGAGACAAACCTGATGACACATTGAAATGGCCATGGACGACAAAAACAGCCAGTGTCTTTGAGTTATTATGTTTGAAACAGTATTGTATACAACGTTTCTAGTTATTTTGTTCATTTACTTCTTTGATAGTCGCACAGAAAGTAGACTCAGATTAGTAGGTATTTGCCAAATTTTAACGAGGTCGTACTGATGTGAGTCTTGATAACACAGGTTTACCCTGAGTATTTGTTATATGAGTAATATTTTTGCGTGATGAGATCCACAAGCCCAGCAGATTTCGTAAAAATGTCGAGGGATTTTTTAGCTAAAGGGAATAACTGATTTTGATAGAAACCATTCAAAGCTCCTGTGTCCCAGATGTCCAATTTTACTTATTTTACTGTAATCAAGACAAATATTTTAATTTACCTAATCTAGCCTGATCAACTAGAATGCTCATAAACAGAAATAACACTTAATCGATCAGAAATGAGGTGTTCATGACATTATTTAATGTTTTGTGGTTGGACTTCTAAAAATTTAGAACACTGAAGACTTTCAACTGAAACTGTACTTCAGTTAATGTCTGTTTGAAGGTAATTCAAAATATAGACTTAAAACGTTGGTGGGCAGTTATTTTTACCTGGTAGCCTCTTGGGTCTGTTTTGAAGTGATTATGGAACTGACATCTGAGAAGATAATTGCACCTGAAGAGGGGGGTATGGCACAAGTCACAGTATTGTATATCAAATTTGGGAACAGTACAGTCACAAAACATTCCTCAAGAACAAATTACACAACAGTTGACTTTTGAATGCTTGATTTAGCTCTCCTGCTGACACCCATGGTTTCAGGCTAAAGTCATTATGTAACACTGGAGTGTATGGCTCTTCTTTTTATAGTAGAAAGATTTTTTAAATTATGTATGTGCCTAAAAGTGTTCTGTCTTCTGTGATTTAACACTGTAGTCCACTGGAAGTCAACCAGTGTTTCAGAGGAATTGATCACTCCCATCTTCAGAGTTAAAGAATGAGCCAGGCAAGAAATCACCTTGAAGCAGGTTGCAAGGAACATGTTCCTCAAAAACATCCATTGACTTTCACTGTACTACATTGCATTATATGTCAGAAGATAGAACTCCTCATAATCACCATTCTGAGAACGTGAAACTGTACATGTCATCATCATCATCATCAGTAATCTGTCAAGACGACAGGTCCACAGTCTCTTTCAAAACAATTCCTCCACTTAATGCGCTCTAGAGCTTTCTCCTTCAAATGACAGTATCCTCTTCTGTTCCCAAGGTCATCCAGCATCTTCTTACGTCTTCTTCCTCGTCTTCTTGTCACTTCTATCCGCCCATCTATCTTTCCTTCGATAGCTTCTTTTAGAAGGCAGTTTCTGCGTAAAACATGACCAATCCAATTAGCCTTCCGTTTTCTTATTTCGTGTAGGATATTCCTCTGCTCACCGACTCTAATTAACACTTCTTCATTTCTCACATAATCGGTCCAACTGATCTTCTCCATTCTTCTCCAACACCACATTTCGAAACTTTCCAGATGTTTCTGATACTGTACATGTATATGCTATTTAATTTTTTCAGATGACAAGGTATTTCTTAAAACAGGAATCCCAAAAGGATAAACAAAAGCCTCAAAATAAAGGCAATGAAGGGTCTATTAAAGAATTAAGAACATTTAAGAGACCCAAATATAAATCTTCTATAGAGAAATCCCAAAAGGAAATCGATGCACTGGTAACAGTTGTGAAATATAAAAGGAAGGCATGGAGGGGTAGAAAATATGAAGATGATAAGCTTGCAGGTGCCCGCGTACAGGCACCATGGAACAGGAAATCAAAACGTGTCCCAGTCCCGGAGGATAAATTGGCTCATCACAGTCGTGGGGAAGGTTTATCTGGTGATGGGATAAAAACAGACTTTCATCAGAAGAAGCTAAAGAAGCATGAAGCAAATATTGAATTTTCTATAGAACAAGCAGCAAGAGCAGAAATCCTTTTACCAGAAGAAAGCGGGTGAGTGAATTATTTTGATGATATCTGAGTCCTTTATTATATTATACAATATGTATGCTACAGCCAGTTTCTGTTGCATTAAATATAAGAATAATCTTAATATATTGTCTTATAACAGTATCTAGTCTAATTAAAATGCAAACTGCAACAAGAAACTGTGCACGACTCTGTGGGCAGGGCCTTTTTTTCTAAACTGATAGTCATGCAGGTGGTCTAGATATTGCCATTCCTTTGTGGAACCAGTAAGTTCATTACTGTTCATTACTCAATACATGAGCCCTGTTTTAATATTAGTGTATGCAGTAGTAGTGTAGTTGGTTGAGGCACTGTTCTACAGACTGGAAGGTCATGGGTTTGATTCCTGAAGAAATCATTGGATTTTTCAGTTGACTTAATCGTTCCAGCTGCACTATGGCCCTGGGTTCGATTCATCCCTTAACAGAAATGAGTACCAGGAGTCTTCCTGGGGATAAGTGTGGCTGGTGTGCAGGGCTGACAGCCTCACTGCCATTTGTGAGCCAATTGTCTAGATAATGTGGGAGCTTTGACATCTCACAACCCTATAGGCCTTCACAGCCTGTTACAGTGATAGCTTTACTTTTACCTGTTTCAATATTGCATCATTCATGTCCACCAAGAGGTCTTTTTACATGTGTCTTTTCTGAAAAAAAATATATATGCATTTTTTGTTTCCCCTCTGTGTACTACATATCCTAAGCATCTGATTCACCTTAATTTAACACTAGGTGATGAAATTATAATGAAATGTGGCTTACCACTCACTGAACTCCAACTTTGTTACCACATTATGCCTTTTGTTTTTACACATTGAATGTAGTATGTGCAGTTTTGCATTTCTTTCAGATTTTTGTTAGCAGATGAAGGTGAGCTAACTACACAGTTCACCCAACAGCAAATTGCTTCTTCTGTTGATATCACAAGTGCAACCAAACACTTTGACTTACATCTGGCAGAATTTGGACCATATAGGTAACTAGTAAAATCCAACCATTATTCTTATTTGTGGGCACTGATTCATCTTCCTCCTGTGCCATTCTGAATAACCATGTATAATAATCCCTCCATCTCCTGATGTTAAATACTGTCTGCAGAATTTGGCAGAACCTGACAGAATTTGGTCCATATAGGTAACTAGTAAAATCCAACCATTGTTCCTATTTATGGGCACTGATTCATCTTCCTCCCATGCCATTCTTAATAACCATGTATAATAATCCATCCATCTCCTGATGTCAAATATTGTCTGCAGAATTTGGCAGAACCTGACAGAATTTGGACCATACAGGTACCTAGTAGAATACAACCACTGTTCTGCTTTGTGGACATTGATTCAGCACCATCCCATGCCCTTTTTTGAATCACCATGTATAATAATTCCCATCTCACAATGTTAAATATTTTTGCAGTTAGTGTATCATCATTGAATAACCTATTGGACTTATCTTTATTTTATGTTGCTGTGAAAACATTTAATCATAAATATAACGTGTGCTGTTGTAGATTAATTATTTGTTTTTATCATGTTACTCAGGATGAACTACAGTCGGAATGGTCGCTTTCTCCTTATAGGCGGCAGAAGAGGGCATGTTGCTGCCATGGACTGGGTAACAAAGAAGCTGCTGTGTGAAGTGAATGTTATGGAGGCAGTTTATGATGTACAGTAAGGAATGGCTAGCAACATCTCATTGTATGCTTGTCTTTGCTTCATACTTTGCCACAGAGAACTTGTAATTGGTCAGAGAGTTCTAATTTAGCATTCTGACTGAGATGGTTCTTGATTATTCTTAAAAATTCCATGAGATACAATACAGTTACTTTCACCTCACATTTTACATAATCGTCCTTTGCAAATGGTACCATCCCATTAAATAATGGTTGAAATAATTCCCCCAATCCTTTACAGCACTTAGCTGAACTCTAGGCATGTTTGTTTCGGTATATTGCTTAGGTTAAGTTATTTAGCGCCTCATGTGGTTGGAATCAGAGGTTGTGTGTGTGTGTGTGTGTATATATATATATAAATAATGCACAATGTATAAACAGATAGAGCAAAGAAGTGCTCTATAATCCTTTAAAACTCTTAAGGTATTTCTGTTGTTGAATGTTGAAGCCCAAAACTAGTTTTATGATTACTGTCCACAAGATATCTGAATCAAGATACTGAGTGCTCATTGAAGAGATCTGGATGAAATCTGTGCTAGACTGGAATATCTGCATGATAATCCCCTGGACACCTTGCACAGGTGACACGGATTTCATGTTTAGGGTTCACACTAAACTCAGAGAAGAGCTTTAATGCATGCATGTAGAACTTTTAATGGAGGTGCTAGGAATATGTGCATAGCAACAGAGAGCATTTCCAGTATCAGTTATAATTTGGATAAGTTTTATTTGTAAAATGTATACGCTGTAGGTTTATTGTCTGCAAGATATCCAGCACCGGATTTTTCCTCCTGAGTGTCATCAGTTTTTTGGATATTCCAAAATGATCTCTATATATTTTGTCATGTATATCTGTTTTAAAATGAGATATTCTTGAGAAAATTGATGAAACTTTATGTGAGCTTCATATAAAGAAAGTGTTAATTTAACAGATACATTTTGAATTGTTTCATTTTGGTCCGTTACACTATTAATCACCAATTGTCAATAGATTTTCCGTCAAGTGCAACAATATATATTTCGGTCACTTAATTATCTCATCGCCCTACATGTTTCGGTTCCAAGGAACCATCTTCAGAGGCACTTACAACAAATCATGAAAACACTGGCTCAGCTCAACATCCACAGTATGTAGTTATTTGTGGAAACTATTACATATATCGGAGTGTAAAGCACAACACTTCCCAGTATCTTGAATGCAGGTATAGCACTTGCATCTAAAAAACCACCCTCAAACCGAGTCGTCAACGTTAAAATTTAAAGTTAAAAATTAAAAAACGTTCAAGTAAAATATTCAGGCTCCTTCTTGGTGAATCGTCCCAATGGGGGGAGGCGTCAGCACGGGGTTGTGTGGGCTTGTGGTCGGGTGTATCTTACGCGATGTGTATTGTGTACATGTAGGGCGATGAGATAATTAAGTGACCAAAATATATATTGTTGCACTTGACGGAAAATCTATTGACAATTGTTAACAGATACAGATCAAATCTAAATTTGCATGACAGATTTATTGAAGATGATACTGCCATACATACCTCATTATGCACACACTGCAAATAATGATAAAACAGTAAGATAATGTGATTGGTGTTGTTATGTAAAGTGTGGGGGCACTGTGAGTGTCTGAATAGAAGATTAAGAATGTTATGTTCTGCTTCCAATTCTGACGTGGTAGAAGCTGAATATATTTAGTTTGTTACTTTGCATTCTACTGTTGATGTAGAAATTATTTTATGACTCCTGAATTATATTGAATCATTTTTCTCATTTGACATTCTCTTGAATGTGAGGATTGTTAACACTCTGTACATAATATGTTCCAGATGGTTACATGTGGAGACAATGTTTGCAGTTGCACAGAAGCAGTGGGTGTATGTGTATGACAATCAGGGCATTGAACTTCACTGCATCAAGAAATTAAATAAAATCCTTCATATGGAATTCTTGCCTTATCATTTTCTTCTTGCGACTGCGGTATGGAAAGTTTATTAAACAAACTTTTTTAATTTGGATTTGATGATCCCATAGCAGTGGCTATGAAAAGTGTGATCTTCTGGGTTGTAATGTTGTGTAGTTCAGTAGGAGCCCACCAACTATTCAGAGGAACTTATTGCCTCCACCATCAGATCCAAGAAGCAAGCAGAGTGAACCTTGCATAGAAAACTAGGCCTGATATTGGCTAGAAAGGAACTACAAGATAAAGGGGAGCATGATCATTATATGTAAGGGGGTTCAGAGAGAACCAATGGAAGCCAAGGAAAAAATAAATCTGTTCAGCCCTGAAAAAGGCCATCCCATGAGCAAGTGCAATAGTAGAGGTCAGGAGAGGTTATATAAATGTCTGGGCAAGAGGCCAGGCAAGGAGGACAGAAGCAAGAACCAATGGAGGAACTGGGAAGGGGGAAGGTAGAAAAAGCCAAGGAGAAGTGGGAGGTTGGGTGCCCTGAAAGAGCAGGGAAAAATCCGTTCTCTTTCACTGTTCCTCTTCCACTTTGACAATAAACAAATGCACTCCCTTATAATGGCCATTTTTTTATCCATTTCTTTCCAGTTACTAGGACCGGGTTCCTTTACTTCCTCACATTGGGTCTCATGACCACCATTTTTGTAACTTCCATTTATATCTAAGCCTACTTCTGAACCTAGGCATGTCAGCCTTGATAATGGAGGCACCATATTTCTCCAAAATATCAGTAACCAACCACAATTCTGTGTGGTGTCATAACCCAGAAGACTACAGTCTTGACTGATAGCTTGTTTACTAGTTTAAGATTTGTGGTGGTTGGTAATTGGTTAAGCAAAATAAGTAGTAGATTACATGTAAAAGTGAAACATGTGCAATTTGAATCTATGTATGCCAAAATTATTCAGGTTATATGACATTTATGTTTTGTAGAAGTTATTCACATAGTATTTGTACACCCGAATGATGATAATTATGATGTATTCTGTTGACAGAGTGAAGAAGGGTACCTCAGCTGGTTAGATATCTCCATAGGTAAAATGGTATCTCAATTCAATACCAGAATGGGGCGATTGAATCTTATGACTCTGAATCCATACAATGCTGTTGTGTGTCTTGGACATTCGAAAGGTAAAACAGAATTTTGCATGTATATTGTTTTTCAAGCTATAAAATATTTTGTGAACAGATTTTTTTTTTTAAAAATATGTCTAATTTCAAAAGTGTAAGGAAAGGTTTTTAAAAATATATTACAACAGACTTGACTCAGATGAAGCATCAGGTTTGGAAAATGAAATGAAATTCAATTATAAGAAACTCGTGAAAAGTATGACTGGTCTTGAAAAATAGTTTTTTATAAACATCAATATGTGTGAATCAACTAGGGTCCTCCCCCCTCAATGCATGAAGGAATACAGTTTATGGAGATGTAGTGTCTGTCCATGAGTCCACACATTCCACCTTCCCTTGTTATTTTATTGATTTGGTAAAATTTTACTGTAAGATCTACATTTTATGTTGTTAGCAGTTTTTGTCAGGGGCACGTGGTAGCGTAGTTGGTTGAGGAGCTATGCCACAAGCCGGAAGGTCATGGGTTCAAGTCCCAATGAGTTCATTGGATTTTTTCAGTTGACATAATCCTTCAAGCCACACTATGGCTCTGGGGTCGACTCAGCCTCTAACGGAAATGAGTACCAGGAATTAATTATTGTCCCACTCATTCTTAACTTTGATGTTAAGTGCAGATGAATGGTAAGCTTCACACCTTGGCCATTTTACTACTGGGGAAACAGCCCTTGGTACTCATAGGATAGGGTACTTCCTTTGCAAAGAATCAAACACCAATTCCCTGGTCATCCAGCCCTTAGCCTAGTCACCATACTACTGAGTAAACCCAGTCTCATTCTGTGCTGTTGGAAATAAAATTGTATTTATTGGATCATATATAGCATTTACATTTTTCACAATTGTGTTTTTTTATTTGTCATACATTATTTATAACTTATTCTGTAATACTTCTGGAAACATGTAAAAAGAGCAGTTCTGCATGACATTGTAGTTTGCAAGATTTGACATAGATTTTAACCAGTTTCATTTTCAGAACAGTTTTGTTTTAACAAAAAATTATACTGCTGTGTAGGTATAGTGACAATGTGGAGTCCAAATGTGAAAGAACCATTGTCCAAAATGTTGTGTCATCAACATCCTTTGCAGAGCCTCGCTATTGACTCTCAAGGCCAGTAAGTAGAAATTTAAATTTATGTTCTGAACATTTACATAATTCCTTTGAATATATGGCAGACTTAAAATATTTGAGAAGAGTGGTGACAGATGAAAATTACTTTTACAATGAAGTTAGGAGCATATTAAATCTCAGGTAAACTTGCTACTGTTTGGTTCAGAATCTTTTATCATCCTATCTCATATCTAAAATTGTAAATGTTAAAATATATGAAACTATAGTTTTGCCTGTTGTTTTCTGACTGCAAAATTTGATCTGTTACCCTGAGGGAAGAAAAAAAATTAGGGATGTCCGGGAATACAGTACTGAGAATATTTGGACCTAAGAGAGGAAATAACAGGAGGCTACAGAAGAATTCATGAAGAGGGCTTCATGAAATGTATAGAAAATTTTAATCTGAAAGTATAATGGGAAGGAAGAAAACCACTAGGAAGACCAAGACGTGGGTGGCTTGACAATGTTAAAATGGATCGTAGAGAGATAGAATAGGGGTATGGACTAGATTGATCTGGCTCAGGACAGGGACCAGTGGAGGGCTCTTGTGAAGATGGTAATGAACTGTCTGGTTCCACAAAATGCTGGGAAGTTCTTGAATAGCTCTACAATTGTCAGCTTCTGAAGAAGGGCACAACTCCATGGAGTTGGTTGGCTGGCTGGTCGGTCGTACTTGGAACATGTTGGATGAATAATATTAAATTTGATCATAGATAAATAGTTCAAGAAAGTGCGGACAGGATGCTTCTGGATCAGGTTAAAATCCGGCCTCAGGCATGCTACTGTGAACATCGTAATGAATCTTCAGGTTTCATAAAGGGCAAGGAAATGTTTTGAGTAGCTGAGTAACTGTTGACTGCTAAGGACTCCACTAAATTTGCTAAATTTACATAAGCCCTGGACCATTCTTAGCAAGTAGCAGGAATTTATTTGAAAATTCTGTTTTTCTTATGCACTCTTTTTACTGGCTCAGTCAGTATAGCAACAAGGCTACAGACTGGACAACCCAGGAGTCAGGGTTTTATTCCCGTCAGGGACAAGAGATTTATCTAGTCTCCATAACATCCAGACCAGCTCTGTTTGCACACCCAGCCTCCTATACAATGGGAACTGGGGCCTATTTCCCCTGGGCTAAAGGAGCAAGAGCATGAAGCTGACCACTTACCTCAAGCTAGTGCCAAGATTAAGAATGATGGAGCTATACCTCCACTCACCCATATGTTTTCATGGCATGGTGCTTAATTAATTAAGCTCAGGGATAACCTTGCCTTTACTTTTCTGGTACATGCTTCAGAGTTGACAGTTCAGTTATCTGGTCATTTATGTTGTATTTTAGCATCCTGTTACACTGATTCATATCCATAATGTGTATATATTACCCTTCTTTTAGTGCATACAATTTCACTTGTCACTTCACACTACGTGTTTCGGCATCATTCTGCCATCCTCAGGTGTATTAATCACGTTAAACCATTGCACTGCCTACCATCAAGTGTCCATTTATAAATCATTTTACACATGATGGCAGGCAGTGCAATGGTTTAACGTGATTAATACACCTGAGGATGGCAGAATGATGCCGAAACATGTAGTGTGAAGTGACAAGTGAAACTGTATGCACTAACAGACGGTTAATATATACACATTATGGATCTGATCATTTATTTCTCACTCCAAATGGAAAAATCTCATACTGTGAATAAACAAATATTAGAAACAAGTGAAAAATATACATAATTTAATTTTAATTCTTCTGTGTAAAATTTCAGTTGTATATTATTTTAGTAGATTACTTGTTGACTGGTTGAAGATACCATGCTCATTTATATATTGTTTTGCTCAGATATATGGCAACGGCTGCAGTGGACAGAACTCTTAAGATCTGGGATGTCCGGAAATTGGAGGGACCCTTACAGCAGTATAAGCTTCATGCTGTTGCATCCAATCTTGCATTCAGTCAACGAGGCTTGTTGGCCATTGGGATGGGCAATGTTGTAGAGGTACAAAGGGTTTCTAGTTGATCCATTGTATAAAAGCACAATGCTTCATTGTTTCTTATGATGCTGATTTCATTGTATTGTTTCTTATAATGCTGATTTGATTGTATTACAAAATCAAGTGAGTAGAAAATGCACTGGGATTCCCATTTAGCATTCCTTTATTTAAGATTTAGTCATATATTCATTTTTGTCTTTTGAACCCAATTATGCCAATATAACTTTCTTTAATTCTTGGTTTTGTCAGTTTGGTATTCAATTCTGTTGTTATCAGGAGGAACCTTAAGTAGGAACTTCACTGTAGTGAGTTGAATTACTGAAGTATAGTGAATTAACTAGCAGTTATGAGCAGAAATCTCCTAAAAGAATATTAGAATATTCAATCTCATGAAGTCGATTTTATTTGATTTTATGTAACAGTTGATTCTCTTAGGTGTACAGGGACTGTTGCCAGAGGCCAGCAGACCGTCCATACTTACGGCACAGGTTGTTTAAAAGAATTGGAAATATGCAATTCTGCCCTTATGAGGATGTTTTAGGAGTGGCATCGGATAGTGGCTTCACTAGTTTGATTATTCCAGGTAGTTTAAAAACTAGAATTTCACCATTTATACGTTTATGTTCTAAATTGGCTAATAGTTTCACAAAGACCAAGGAACTTTATGTAATTCTATTTGGTATGGAAAACTAATTGAATTTGAATCCGCAGTACAGAAGTTTGTAATGTACAGGTATAGAAACATCGACTATTATTGTCTTGGAATAGGGTATTTTAAATCCCCCCAGTATTGTGGGGCTGGTGGCCAGATTTTAAAATTGGGTTAATATTGCATGTGTGTTAGAGTACTGAAATGCACAGCCAATAAAATTTAACATGTAAGATTTGAGGTTTTCACGGCGGTGACTATGAAGAAAGCAGTCTTCTGGGATGTGGCGCTGTGTAGATATTGTGTTAACTGACATTTTGGAGGAACATCGGTTAACACAATATCTACACGGTGCCACATCCCAGAAGAATGCTTTCTTCAACAAAATTTAACATTTTGGGAAGTGTGTCCAAATTTTTGGACTTCAAATTTACATTAAATGTTCCTTAAAATATATTGTCAGCTTGTATCCACTGAAGTATAAAGCATACTTCAGCCAGGGAAAATGTATGAGGAACATTTTGTATAAGAGCGAAATGAAATTATTAAATTTGCTTAGTGGGGGGTGGAGTCCAACTGGGTCTGCTCAGCACGATGGCCACTGATTGGCCTATTGTAGCCTGCCCTGGCTGATTATGATGATGGAGAATTTGGAGGAATGAAGATTGGCAGGGAAAACTGAAGTACTCGGAGAAAACCCGCCCCAGCTCCACTTTGTCCACCACAAATCCCACTTGATCAGACCTGGGATTGACCCCGGGCCGCCGTGGTGGGAAGCCAGTGACTAACCGCTTGAGCTATGGTGTGGCCTATAAGAGTGAAACTTCAGTACTGTAAACTTCTAGGGACTTCAACTTTTTCTACTTAAAACTGAAAGAGTATTATATAAAGTGATAATTTAAAAATAAATGAAATGGAAAGAACTTTTATTTAAATACACAGAATATTTTACAAAACAGAATGGTAATTGCTCTTTGCCATATTAACGTGTTTAAGAACATTTTTCATGTATCTTCATCGAATCCATTCATTTAATTTTCAGAGTTTTGTTTTTAATGCAGCATAAGTCTCTGATTAGCAATAGTCTACAATAACTGTCTGTTATTGATGATAATTTGTGGCAAGCAACGCAAGTCAGTGTAATTTTGACATAAAATTTGGTTATAATAAAATTGTGATTACGCATGTTTGTACTTTTCATATTTCTAGTTTTTTCATTCTGAATTTTAGGAAGTGGAGAGCCGAACTTTGATGCTTTGGAAAGTAACCCCTTCCAGAGTAAATCCCAGAGAAGAGAATCTGAGGTGAAGTCTCTGTTAGAGAAGGTAAGTTTGTTATAAACAGAGCCATAAAGGGAAGGTGGCTATGTGGATGCTGTTAGAAACTTATATAGAGTAGATTATTAAGGAAGTTCTGTTAGAAAATATTTATATGTATATAAGTTAATATATATGTACAGTTAGCTCCTGATTATGCGGACCGATGATGGCGATGAAGTGAATGAATAACTGAAATTGCAGTTAATCCAGTGTATTTTGATTTGCATTCTTATAATGTTGTCAACAGCTAATAAAACAAATGTTGACACAATAGTGCCTATTTTGTCTTTTTCAGAACTACTGTTTTGTAGACTGACCTATTGTATAAAGTAAGTAAAGTAAAGTAAAGGTATCCCTGTAACAGGCTGTGGAGGCCCATAGGGTTGTGAGATGTTGAGGTTGCTACATTTTCTAGAGAGTCTCCTCGCAGATGGTGGCAAGGTTGTCAGTCCCATGAGCCAGCCACCCTTTACCCCGAAGAATATTCAAAGAATATTACTGGTACTCATTTCTGTTAGAGGCTGAGTCAACCCCAGGGCCATGGTGCGGCTGGAAGGATTAGGTCAATCAAAAAATTCCAATAACCTCATCGGGACTTGAACCCACAACTTTTTGTATGATACACAACAAGATGCATACCATAAAAGTTAAAAATCACAAATTACTTAACCACATTTTACACTCTATGGCTATACATTTCCTCTTTCATAAGAAATTCGATGACAGCACACTGGCGAAATGACATATCGTCGGCCATTTTGTTAGGAGTGATACTGGTCACGTGATGCAAGCTATTGACGTCACAAGACACTCAAGGTTAACACAACAGCTGGTTCCACCTACTGCCATACTCTCTTTTGTCTGCTGTTCCCAGGTTGCATGCAAAGAAAAGTTGCTCATGACTTTTGGTATGACGTACGTAAGTGTAGTTATGTAGATCTACTCACTTTCCTTGTGGCTGTAATATCACTATTCAAACTGCCACCAACCCTTGCAGACTAGCAAAGTGTCAACACTCTGTAGCATCATTCATGTGATCACTGTTTCCTTCTTCTTCACTTTCACCCTCCATATTCATGACCTCATTCTTTTGTTCTGTAGCAATACTTATTTCATCATCATCAGTCATGTACAGGAAGCCAGGTTTGCAAATGGCATGTCTTTATCCATTCTCCTATCTGGCTGTAATAGTGAGCAGGAAGGCTGTTTCCTGTTCTTGAAATTCTGATCTCAACTAACTTAGTAAAGTGATTGTTCATAAGAATGATGGCCAGAAATTTTTATCTTTCCCAGAATATCCAGAGCAACTCTGGGACTGACCTAATTTCCTGTCCTCCACCAGATGTTAGGTGGTTGGAGCATGAAGCTGGTGGCTCACCTCCGTTCCATATGCAGAGGTTTACTTCCAGCACCATACAATTTCATGGCACAGTGCTGATACACACACAGAATACCTTTATGTCTGAATATCCTTATGTACACCATATCTCTATTCCCATTTATATTCTTAATATGATGTAGTTGAGGTATCTTAGAATTTTTATGCCAGAATTTCACTTCAAGGGCTTTGAGTCTACTTTCATTTCTTTTTAGGACCCATACTTCTAATCCATAAGTGGAAATACAGTCTCTTGTTTTATAAATCTCCATTTCAATTTTTCATGTTAGTTCCTTTCTTCTTAAACTTACACTCTTACTTACTTACTTACTTACTCATTGAGCTGAGCCCTTCTGGAGGACCTGCCAATTCTGCAGCTACTCAAGAATTTCCCGGCATTTTATGGAACCTGAAGGTTCATCACCGTGTTCACAAGAGCCCTCCACTGGTCCCTATCCTGAGCCAGATCTATCCAATACATACCATCCCATCCTATCTCTCTAAGATCCATTCTGATATTGTCCACCCACCTACACCTTGGTCTTCCCTGTGGTCTCTTTCCTTCTGGCTTTCCCACCAATATCCTATATGCATTCCTCATCTCCCCCATTCTCCATTCATGAAAATTACACTCACCATATTTATTATATATATTTTTTTTGTTCTGTTTTTTGCCTTGTCATTTGCTGAGTTGACCCATCCTCAGCAGTAGTAACTCCCAAATACTGAAGTTTGCACAGTTTTATATTGTTAGCTTGTGTTCAGATTGTAGGCTTCTCTAAATCTTTCCAATGCTAAAATCTTCAGCATTTTGAAATCTGTGTTTGTGTTCTATGTTTCATAACATACGGTAGTTAAAAACACCAGTATTTTTTGTTTGTTACCTCCACTTCTTGATACATATTCATGGCATGCTCAAACACAGATAAAACTAGATGTGGGCTGAATAACCAGGGTTTAGTTCCCAGCAAACGCAAGAATTTTTCTCTTTGTCACTATGTCCAGTTAGACCAGCACTTTGGGGGCTCTTTTTTTTTGAGGTAAACAGTGGTATCATTAAGGTGACCATCTCCACCCCCCATATATCTTCACGGTGTAGTGCTTGGACACAGACATCTATATCACTCAGTATTACTCGGTTTTTGGATTTTGTCCATCCATATATCTAAAGAACACAGTGTTTCAGAAACTGGATATATTTCTATTCTCAGGTGAGGTAGGGAGTACCTACACTTTTGGGTCTGTTTGATAGAGCTAACCTCAACTACCGGACCTCATTCACTGTGGTTAGCTTTTTTTTGTGCTGATTTTTTAATCTGTCACAGTATACATGCACTGTTTTCATAATTCTGTTCTGTTTCAGATTCAACCTGAATTCATAACATTGGATCCGACAGTAATAACTGATGTACACATTCCAACACTCAGAGATAAAGTGGAAGCAAAGAAAAAGTTGCTTGTAAGTTGTGAATTTCTTGTGTTCAATAATAAATGTAGAATATTTTTAATATATATGTATGTACATATATATTTGCATTAGATATGTCTGTACTTCAGATTATTTGACATAATAGAATGAACTATCGTATGAAATGCTTTATTCTGAATACCCATACATTTTCACTAATCATATGTTAAAAGTAAGAAAGTATATGATTTCAAGCATTGTGCTTTTCATGCCAGTTGCAGGCATATTCTGGAATTATGGTAATTCAGTTATCAAATACATTTGTATTGAGTGAACAGCATTACTTTGTTTTTTGGTGAAGTATCTACATCTGCCATTCTTTAATTTAAACTTTAAATACTAACCTTGGTTTATCAAACGCATATATATTGTCTTCATTAATTCATGCCAGAGAAAAGTTATTTTAGACACACAAAATCTTAGCAGAAGTATACTCTGTAATTCAAACTACTAAATTCATTATTGATAAAGGCATGTTAAAACTTGAAGAATATTGTAAATGGAGTGGCTCTGCTAGCTGATTTCTTGAATGGCTTGTTACTCGACCCCAAAGGTGGTGGTATTATGGTCATGAATATTGATGAACTTCTGGACTCCAGAAGATAGTACTATTTACAGGCATCAGTATGAGAACCTCAAAACATGTTAAAACTTGTTTCTGATAGTATACTAACATACTAGCATAGTGTATTAGCATTCTTGGGGATGTGAACATGTTACTGGCATTATACTTTTGCATTCCACTGTGTTACAAACAATTTTAGATATAAAAATAATGGTTTTGTGAACTTCAGTTCCGTTGGGTTCTTGCCTTAGATTTTCACAACTCTGTACCTAAATCTGACTTCGAACAATAGTCTATTGTCATAGAATTTTGTCTGTCTCTGTCCAAGAGTGTTTTCTTCAAATCATTATGGTATGTCTTTACCACAGTTCTTGAAACCACCGAAGATTGATTTCCAGCCTCGTAATAAGAGTGGGAAAAAGAAAGGCACTGTCAAAGTTGCACAGACAAAAAGAATTGTCCGAGAGGAACAAAGAAGGGTATGTATATGGTCATTTATTTTGTTTAAGGAGATAACATTTCTAGCAGCGGAAACTAGGTTTTTCCGTTCTCCACAGCGTTTAGACTGGCTTTGGTGCCCACCGAACACCCTGTCACTGGGTACCAGGTGTATTTTTTTTCCAGGTGGTATACTTGTTGTGTGAAACTGACCACTAACCTCCATCTTATGTGAAGGTTAAGAATATATATATTTATGGCTTTGTGCTTAATTAAGTGCAAGAAAACTTTTACTTCCATAAATATTCTTTTTCAGTCATTTTTCTGCATGAAGCAGAAAATATTTCAGTGCATTAATATCTCAGTTAGATAAGCAAAAATTACATCTACAGAGTGTCCCAGAAATAAGTGCTGTAAATTGGATGGTGAATGCTGACTCAAAAGAATGAAAGCAGTTTATATAAATATGGGTATGGAAATTATTTGGTAAGGCATAAAGCAGGAATTTATTCAGAGCCTTTAGAAAGTTAGTGTAGAGTGCATGGCAAGATCTCAGCTTCTCTTTGTCCATGGTGTGTTATGTACTGTGCAAACATTCGAGGCTTTATGTATAGAACAATCCTTTGTTATTTCTTTGAACAGCTGTAACTGATTTTGTTTCCCTCATCCATCTCACACACTGTCACAGCCTTATATTAATTGGATGCCATTCTCAGTGCAGCTGCCAACTGGCTCCATGCTCTCTCAGTCTGGGGCATGCCCACATCCATGCACACTCAGTACGGTGCACAGCATAAAACAAACTTCCAGAGTTTCTCTTTCATATGGTGGAAACTACATTCTTGTAATTTTATTGATTTTCACAAAAATGTTTAGAATGAGGTCATTCTTCCTCAAGCACTTTGTGTACAAGTAATGAGGGACTTTTTACTGTACTGTAAGCTTTCTTCTATATTCCCTTTAAGTTAGACATTAAGAAAAACATGATTATGACATTTCATCACATAACTAATTCATTCTCATTATTCACCATGAAATTAATGAAATAATAAATTCACATGCATATTACACACATTCCATCTTAATGCATGAAATATGACATCGAGACACTTTGTGATCAAAATCTGAAAGAACTAACAGATATAAAATCCAAGTGTGAGGAGTGAACAGGAAAATATAGTATTTTAATAAAATTATTTGCTAAATGTCACATCATCTGTGGAATGACATGGCAGTCATGCAGAAGTTACATACTAGACTTAGCCATACCAAAGAAACATGATGACTCAAGAGCTTATAGTGCTTCAAATTATTGTCAAAAGAATTAGTCACCACATCTGCATCTGCTCTGAGGGCCTCTTCTCCTTCTCTAAGATTGGAAGGAGAGTAAAATAGAAAGGTTCTGAAGTAGAGCACACATGTCAATCTAATGCTAAAGTTTAACATGTATGGAACTTTTCCTACAGGCCCATTAGAAGATGTTAATACATTTTAATGTTTCAGGAGTTTGTCAAGACCCTGAAAGATGCTGGCATTGGTGAAATAACTTCCCCTCAAAATACGGAGAGTTCCAGTGTATCAGTGAAACACAAACCATTTACTGCTCTAGACAGATTCAAACCAAAGAAGAAAAAGGAGGAAGGTTAATTATGTAAGATTTGAGGTTTTCACGGCCGTGACTATGAACAAAGCCGTCTTCTTGCCCCCCCCTGCAGGTCATACTCCACAGACCCTTCCCCTCTCCTCTCTTAGATTTCCCATGTAGCCCCCCCTCTCTATTCTCTTCCTGCTCTTATACAGCTGGGCTTATTGAACTCGACATTAGTCTGTCAGCACCTGCTCACGCTGGTTCCTCACTTGCGGATTTTCTTTCTTTTTTCTTCTACCTTGAAGATGGATGCGATACATTCCTTCAAAACATCAGTTAATACAATATCTACATGGCACCACATCCCAGAAGATGGCTTTCTTCAAGGTTAATTATGTTCAGCATTATTAGGTACATAAGTTTAGAAGTTTGTATTTACATGGTATCAGAAGCTGATGACAATAAACTTTTTGGTTTTAATACTTGCCATTCTGAATACTGATGTTGTGTTTGGCATAACTGCCAACAGACCTAAATGAATTTTTAAGTAATTATTTATGTTATTTTAAGTGGACTGCAATGCACATCAAAGCAGCGTAACAGTTTGGATGCACTGAAACACCTGAGGAATCTGTCTGTGGCTGAAACATGTTGTGATAGTCTTAAATGATGAATATTTTAATGATTGTTGCATTACTGACAGACTTGATACATAGACATTTAATCACCACAGTACTTTCTCATATATACTGGTACTACATTTATGAGGTAAAAGGTGCCAAACTTCTAATATTTAACTAGGACAGAAGACAAAGCACTGTTAATGACATTAATTTAATGACATTTACTGGACACAACAAGGAGTTAAAATGTGGCACTAAGGTAGTAAGTTGTACCACAATAGTAGAATAAAGGTCAACAAGAATATATATGGTCATGAGTTAGTAACTAGACAAAGGGTTAGTATTGCTAATTGAATTTATTGGCTACTTATTACTCAAAATACAGGTAATTACAACACTGACCTCTCACAGTCTACGAATAGTTACAGCACACCCAAAGTCTTTCACTTATTTTGAAAATGAAACCTGCATATTGCTGTCATATATGCAAGAAACGTGTCCACTTGGAATACATAGTAAATGTCTTCCTTTAAACCCCTTACTCATCAAATTTACAAAGCCTGGAAAATTAATGGAATAAATAGGATTTGAGGTTCTCACATCTATAGCTATAAGGCTAAAGTTACTTTACAACTGCAAGTTTACCGCCAGCCAGTTTGTCTTGGCACCAAGCCCCTTGAGGCCTACAACCCATTTTTTGTATGGGGGGCAACTGAACCCTGCAGTCATAGTCCTCCTCTAACATCTTTCTGATGAGAGGATGGGTTGCTATCTTAGCTCTCTTATCAGTATGCTTGGCCTTTTGTCAAGTGTACATTTCACACGTTATTAAAAATTCTTTTTGTACTATCTAAGTCCTCTGTCAGTCCAGGGTTTGCAAAGCAGATCATGTTTATGTCACTTATTTTATGCTACAATGCCAGCTCGATCACTTGAAGAGTCGTACTCTTGATCACCGCCAAGTTTAAGCCTCTTATATTTTCTGTGGGGGCTAAAGGAGCAGTATGTAACCCCCAGAATGTGCAGTCAACCAGGGACTGCTCGTCACTAAAAACTGGGTAATGTCAGTTATTCCTGCTAAGTCCTATCCATACTACGTCCTTGCCATAGTTCCCCGGTAACATTCTTTGGAAGAGCAAAGTATGGAAGGGCGGAAAGCGATTTTCCAACGCTTTAATTGGAACCCACTGGCTAAGGAAATAAACCCCGACAGAAAATCCTAGGTCCTCCAAAGTAGTGGGGGTTAGTCGCAAGGCCAGCTCCCTTGTACTGTAAAAAATAATTTGCTAAAAAAGCTCAACAAGGGATTGCTGGACAGTTCAACTGGAGATGACCAAAGTGAGTTCTAAGGAATAAAGAAAGTAAATTAGTGATAGGAACCTGGAATGTTAAAACTGTACTGAAACCCAGGAAAATGCATGAACTATCAGAACTGTACAAAACACAAATGAAAGTAGTGGCCTTGCAAGAGATAAGATGGGCAGGAAATGGAGTTATTAGTAAAAATGACTTCCAGTTGTTTTATAGTGGCACCCAACAATCCAGGAAAGCAGGAATGCGATTTTATGTCAAGAAGGAAATAGCCAAATACATTATCGGATTTGAGGCTGTAAATGAAAAAATCTGTAAACTTAGGATTAAAGGAAAATATAGGAATATTACTCTTTATCAGTGTTTATGCTCCACTAGAAGATAATGAAATAAACTTTAAAGAGCACTTCTATGATGAATTGTAAAGAGTTTTAGAAGGAACTCCAAGAAGTGACACTGTATAATATTAGGTGATCTAAATGCCAAGTTGGGCAGAGAAGAAATATATAGTAACATTTCTGGGAAATATACATTGCATAATGTAACTTCACCAAATGGCGAACTATTGGTAGAATTTATAATAGCCAATAATATGGTAATTATGAGTACCCAATTCCAACATAAAGAAATACATAAGGGTACCTGGAGAGCAGCCGAACATAACACTGTTAATCAAATTGATCATGTCATTATTAATGCAAGTAAAAAGGATCTTACAGAAGATGTCAGAACAATGCGAGAACCTAACTTAGACTCGGACTTACCTTGTTAAAACGGTAATAAGGCAAAAATTACCCATAGCATATACGAGGGTTGGAACTTTAATAGTGGCAACTATTTATTTACAACTGATACAAAATAGATGCATGTTTCAAAGTTTTACTGTCCTTCAGTGTAGTCACCAGCATTGTGTACAACCTGTTGCCAGCGATGTGGAAGTCGTAGGATACCTTTAGCAGCGCCTGTTGTGTTGATAGTTCGAATTGAGCGTTCTACTGCCTGAAGAATCTCTGGAACAGTTCTGAAGCGAATGCCACGAAGTGGTTCCTTCGTCTTAGGAATCAAGTCGAAGTCACAAGGGCTTACGACCAGGGAGTATGGTGGATGGTACAACACTTTGCAGCCCCAGCTTGCACTTCATGCGGTCGAGCATTGTCCTGCAAAATGATGGGTGGGTTCTGCAGAAAGTGTCACCGCTTCTTTCTCAAAGCTGGTCGCAGGTTGTGTTCCAAAGATGAACAGTAATACTGCGCATTGATGGCCTGCTGTCGGGGAATGGTATGCGTTAGGATAACACCATCACAGTCATACACGAGAATCACCATAACTTTCACACTGCTGGGGTTCTGACAAGCTTTTGATTTTCATGGTGACCTATAAGATAAGTGATAAGAGCCCTGACATTATAGAAACCAAACTTAATGCAAGTCCTATAATCACAGATAAATGGTTTAAATCAAATTTGTTATCAGTTAATCTTTTGAAGACTTTCACTATGCAATTTATAATCAAAAACTCTGTTCCTACCAAGGCCTCCACTTCTTGTAATATTGGTGATATAGTGAAAGTGTCATCTCAAATTTCTTGGTTTGGTAGTTGATAACGTCCTCTCTTGGAATATACATATTGATTCAGTTATTAACAAACTACAGTTTGCTTTTTGATAAGATCTGTCAGACCTTATATGTCAGGCTCATCATTGGTGAAGATATATCATTCTCTGTTTCATTCTATACTATCATATGGAATTGTATTTTGGGGGCAGGAAACCAATACCAAGAAACTCTTTATGATATAAAAAAAAGCAGTTTGTTTAATGACAGGATATTGTAATAGGCATTCATGTAGAAATCTTTTCAGGCAGCTGGGAATTTTACCGTTGAAGTCACAATATATTTATTCAGTTTTGCTCTTTGTATCAAAGAATAGAAAACTTTTCACTACTAATTATGATGCACATAATCTCCAGACAAGGCAGAGTAGTAACTTATATTTCCCAACTTCCACCCTAACACTGTACCAAAAAGGTGTTTACAGGTATAAAGCTATTTAATAATCTGCCTCTTGAAATAAAGGGGATTGTTGGGATACACAAGCAATTTAAGATTTCTTTAAGATACTTGATTACCCATTATTTTTATGACTTGGAAAAGTATTATAGTGTTAATGAATGATGATGTAAACTAATGGTTTTATATGAATAGCATGTTAGTTACTCTATATTGAATTATATGAGTCTAGCTGTATAATAGTTTTATTGTATTTACAATAATAGTTATTGTCTTTTATATCATTTATTTTATTGCTTTATAATTTTGACATGTTCTAATTATTTACTTGAGCTCAACTTATACCTGAACTGTAGTTATGACTGAATTGTACTTTTATGTTCTTCTGCTTGTCTTGACATATATTAATTAATATTTGACATGTTCTATATCCTATGGTTTGTAACCAGTTTTATTGGATCACATGGAACTCGAAATAAATTACAATTACAACACAAAATGCAAAGAATGGGTTTAGCATTATAGAATCTCAATCGCCACCACAATGGACACGATATGCTAACCCGAATTGTCACAGGCGATGAGTCTTGGGTTCACCATTACCAGCTCGAGATAAAGTATGCGTCAATGCAGTGGAAACATCCTGCTTCGCCTACCAAAAAAAAAAGTTTAAGGTGACATCATCCTCCAGGAAAGTGATGCTCACAGTCTTCTGGGATCACGAAGGCATACTGGTCACCACATTCAAGCCTCAAGAACAAACCATAAATGCTGACTGCCACTGTAACATCCTCAGGAAACTTTGTAAGGCCATTCAATGGAAGCATGCAACCTGTCATGCATTATGAGGTAGGTCATACCATATGAACACGCCTGGTTCTAACAGCAGCCCAAAGAATTTCATTCTGCTGGTTTTCAGAGGCTTGTGAAACGATGGGACAAGTGCCTCAATGTACAGGGAGATTATGTTGAGAAATAAAAGCATTTTTTAAATCAGTACTCTTTATTTTTGAAGTTCTATATCTATTTGTAACTTACTTATTGACTTACCTACGCAGGTAATCTAATAAAAGGAAGGAACATAATTAACCTCATCAAAGCCCAAAGAATAAGTTGGCTTCGACAAATCTCAAGGACAGAAGCTGGAAGAACAGTTAAAAGAATATATGAATGGCAGCCACATGCTATAAGAAAGAGAGGCCGACTTAAGATCAGATGGAAAGATGATGTAATGGAAGATCTAAAGGATTTAGGAATTTGTAACCGGACAACTCGCATACAGGACAGAAGTAGTTGGAAGGAAATTGTTGAGCAGGCCAAAGTGTTTAATAAATGAAGCTGTCAAGCCTTATGAAGATATTTTCCGTGTCTGGTTTCACGTTGTCCTACACCGCGAACATGTTCATTCTAACCTACTTATTCGTATGTCTGTCGTTAACTAAACTATGCAAGATTTGTCAGCAGTGTTTTTTAGGTTATTATTAAGATAAAAGCACTTTTAATGCACTAATACCCTTCACATACAACTCGGAGTAATTTACTTAGATGTCTGGGATCATAGAACATCGCTCAACTGTGTATTTATGAGATATATAACACTAGCCGAATGTAAATATATTCATACGATTGTCATAATAAATAGCCAATTTCGGTATAATTTATTTAATAAAAAAACAATTAAGACGAATAGTTTCCTCTGTTTACTCGCCGTTGCATGCAAAGCAATAATACTTGAGTTCTCACTGTAACGTTTGCTTGAATGTGGCTAGTTGCCATAGTTTCAACGGTTTCAACTGTAATACATTACCACACGAGTCTAACGACGTCAATTAGAAACCAGCAGTAATAATTGTAATAATTCTCATATCTTCACATTTCTTATTCCGTGACGTGTGACGCGTGACGTGTTCGTCGATTTCAATTACTTTTTGCATTGGCCACATAGAGCAGCGCTACATATGTTTTTGTATGCGTGAAGTGTGCACTATCTTTCAAATCCGTTTCACATAATATTTTATGTATTAATATACTAAGAAGGGCATTTGCAGAATACGTAGCAAAATGGTTTTGTTGACTATGATTGCAAGGATAGCTGATGGCCTGCCTTTGGCGGCAACAATGCAAGAAGATGAACAGGTTGTATTTGTAGCAGTCGCTTTCGATAATTTCTTGTGTGTATGACATTGCTGTTCTCTGTTGTGTAATGTGTATCATTTTAAGAGAGGTGGATGAATTTGTTGCAGTCCGGGCGAAACATACTGGAATACCAAAATCAAGCTAAAATGTTGTTCCGGAAGCTGAATACATTAAGTCCATCTCGTTGCAGCATAGAAACTGGACCATATTTATTTCAGTAAGGAAATGTTTCAGCATGCTATATACATAAACTTTGAACCATTTGTCATTACGTGTAACATAAGTAGTTGTATATTTTGCTGCACATCTATTAGGATTCTATACAGGACCAGTAAATTCCACGTTAAGTATTCATCATGCGTTATTGTGTATTAAATGTTTATAATAATTTATTTTCTACAGTCATTTTTTATTCGTCATTATATTATATCCTAGGGAACATGTAGGAGTGTTTGACTTTAGCAAATAGGGGGCTTCTTAAGTTTGCAAATTTTATAGTATACTGAAGAAAAATGAAACATGATAGAACCCATTCTAACCTGCCTGACCTCTAAGCTTTTCATTGAATTAGAGTTTGTGTGTCATTAAAGTGTTGGGCTTTAACTTCTCTCATAGTCCTCTATAGCTTATGATTGTAGACTTACATTAAATAACCAGTACATTAAACCTTTTGATTAAGCAGACAAATGGATTCCATATTTCTTTAAAATTCATCTCAGTGTTATCTTTCCATCTGCATAGATGTCCCCAGCGATCTCATTCCATAGGTTTTCTGATCAAAACTTCTTTTACATTAAGTGCAGATATATATGAGTATGTTGGGTAAATATTAATTGTGGGGTTTGCAAATGAAGTTTAACACTCAGATGGTCATAAGCTTTTCCATATGTGATGAAGATGTAAAAACTTCATCTGAATTTTCATAATTTTGTGAACATTCTTCTTAGTCTTTTTATATGTTGTATGTTCAAGAAGTACCTGATGCCTCTGTAATTTGATGAATTTGTTTTTAATTAGTAACTGTTTGTGTATGTCACTAGTTTGTAAAATAATTAAATTTTTAAATTCCATTTTTTATAGTGGTGGATGAAGTCTACTTTTACTTCCTTCTTGTTTAATCTGAAAATGGTAGCGTTTTTTCCTTGTTTGTCTTATATTTCAATTTTTTTACAGCTACCTTATAGAAAATGATGTTTGCTACCTTGTGTTAGCAGAAAAGAACTACTCAAAAAGACTTGCATTTTCATATCTCGAAGATTTGGCGCAAGAATTCCACTCACAGTATGGGAAAAAAGTAAATACAGTAACAAGGCCTTACAGTTTCATTGAATTTGGTAAGAACAAAAGTTAAATTGTTTATTATTTCAAGAATTTGTGGATTAGTAATATAATATTATTTTATAATTTACTATGTTTACAATTTATCAGATACTTACATTCAGAAGTCCAAGAAAGTATTCACGGATTCACGAGCTCGTCGAAACCTCTCAGCTCTTAATACAGAACTGCAGGATGTGCAGAGGATAATGGTTCAGAATATTGATGATGTTCTGCAGAGAGGAGTTGTATTATCAGGTAACATTGCATCGCTGCTTATGTCCCAGAGTAGAAAAGATCACATTTAAATGGAAATGTGAATGAAGTAAGATACAGTGTGTAAACTTTTTCATATTTCTTGATCATGACAAAGGAAAATGCCTAACCTTCTGTTTTGGCAATGCTTGATTTATGCAGTGTTGTTTGGAAATATACTTCCAGCTAGTCGGTCAGATATGATATAAAAACAGTCTTTTAGAAGAAAATAATCATTTGTGTTAAAACTTTACAGAAAAAGTACTTAATGCTAATTTATTAGGTTCGTATTTGTATCGAATATTAACTCTGGTGCTGAGCATGAAGGAGATATACTTAACTATAAGTGGCTCACTGGAGTAGTTCCTTCCTGAGGAGCCATCATAAAATTACATATGTTGTGAAGAAAGCGATGAATTGATCTTTTACAACAGTTAAATTATTTTAGAAGGTCAGTGATTTAGTGATATAAACTGGGGGTAACATGGTACTTTAAACAATCCCTTGCCAGAATGGCATGGTGCTTCTAAGGTTGTGAATGGTGGTGAGCTCCAGATGGAAGGTAACAGGAGATATATTGAATAAGCTGTTTTGGACAGTTGACATGAAGTTGGGCGGGGGGCTAAAGAAGTGTCACCATAAAAACCAGTGTGTTACAAATTGTTATGTAGCACCTCAGACTTGAAGAAATTCTTTGTCTTATGGTAGGTTCATGTGAACATAGGAATGAACCTTTGGGTTCCACAGAAGTGGGAGATTTCTGATTAGCTTCTTCAGAAGGGCTATGCTTCATGGAGTTTGATTATTTTTTTGGCAAGTTACTGTGTTTGTGATAATGTTGTGGCATATAGACGTGTTGATAAGCAGTTACTCTGTAAACAGTGACTGTTCCTGGGCAATGGCTTAGTAAACACATTCCCATTGCTAGGCAGCAGATTCTTAATAATGTAACAGTTGTACTACAACAATAGAAATGGGTTGTTTTCTATGCAGTCTGTGCCAAGATGATATAAGCAAGGGACAGAGTTAGTGAGAGGCCATGCCATAATTCAAGCAATTAATTACTGGCTTCCCACTGTGGCAGCCTGGATTTGAGCCCAGGTCAGGTAATGTGAGATTTGTGGTGGACAAAGTGGCATTGGGGCAGATTTTCTCCAAGTGCTTCGGTTTTGCCTACCAAATCTCATTGCAATGACTGCTCCACATTCATCATCTTATCATCTGGGGCTAGTACAATAGGCCAGTTAATGGCCAGTGTATCAAGTGGACTCTGCCTCACCCACCCCATGTAACTAGTTGGTGAGAGTTCAGACCCATGTGGAGGTGAGTTCAAATACCTTCAACGTAGCCCTGCAAGTCATAGGAGGCAATGAAAAGGGGGCCCAGTGCCCGAGGGTATAACTGGGCCACCCTGTGCCTGGGGGATGTAAATATGGATTCCTGGCCCTCCGGGCTGGGGGAGTCTAGAATCTGAGACAGTAAAATATGTTTATGAGTCTCGCAGGACCCAAGAATGACTGCGCTGGCAAGGGCCAGCAACAGTTATAAACAACAGACCCATCTTCTTGTCAGAAAGGATGTTACATAAGAACTATAACTGTAAGTATTCAGTTGAAAAACAAAATACTGGTTCTGGGTCTCAAGGGGCTTGGCTCCAAGACTAACTGACTGGTGGTAAACCACTAGTCATAAAGTAACTCTGGCTCTCAGTTGTTAGTGAGTTCCGTACAGGAATCTGTGAAGAGAGGACTTGAGCTGGAGGCAGAAGAATAACCATTGTTGGAGCCGTTACCAGGAAATGTCTAGGAATAGGCTGAGAACACTAGACTATGAGCTCTAGTGAACTGTAAAGTGTGGAAATAGCAATAGTATTATAGTTATTTGTAGTTATGACCTGTAAATGGTCAGTAAATCCATTCACAAATCCAAACCCCATCTTAGTCACACATACTATGTGACAATATAGTCTTGGTTTATTTAATGATCCTTTCACTAGCTTGTATTACATAACATCGAGTGGCAGAATGATTAGTGAATAATGAATTGGTTAGGATGTCCTCATATCTTAATTTGAGGTACTCTTCTGGCATTTGTTGAGGAGACTGAGGAAAACTATGAAAAACTTAAGTCGGGATAGTTGTGGTCTTGGTGCAGAGATTTGAGCTTAGGACTTGAACACAAAGCAGGAGTGCTAACTACTCAACAACTGCAACATGATTTTATGATAGTAATAAGTAATGCCTACCTATAGAATTATGTTAAATTTTTCTGTATGGGGAAGGAGCAGCTCAGATTCAGGGCCATCTTTCTTTTTGGTAATACACATATTTTTCAGGAACTGTCCTTCAAGCTGAAGTGCCCTATTTCCACAGCAGATAATAATTCAGAAACATGTTGAATGACAAGAAATGATATTGAACATTCATATTTTCTGGGAGGCTTGAGGTTTGAATCATAGCCTGGAGACCAGCTATCCTGATATAGGTTCTTAATGGTTTTCTTCGGTACCACCAGGGAAATGATGGGTGTAAGATAAAGGTGTCCCCATGCTTAACCAAGCACTACACCATGAAGATGTAAGGGGGAGTGGATGTATGAATCCACATATTGTAAGATTTGAGGCTTTCACGGCGCTGACTATGAAGAAAGCAGTCTTCTGGGATTTCGCACCGTGTATATGTGGTGTTAACCGATGTTTTGGAAGAATGTATCGCCTCCATCTTCAGGGTAGAAGAAAAAATAAGAAATCTGCAAGCGAAGAGACCGTGAGAACCGGTAAAAGCAGACTGTGTGGAAATATACACATTATGTGAGAGCAGAGAGGGTACGGGGGAAGGGCAAGTATACAAGTGAAAGCAGTAGTGTGGGAGGGGTAGGGGAAGGGAGCTGGGACAAGCGTGGTTTTTGTGTAGGGGAGAGAAAGGCAAGGTTAAAGGCCATGATGGGCCTCAGAACAAGTCTGGAGGGTGAGAGGAGAAAAATCTTTCCCATACTGGGGCTCAAGAGTGCAACCCCTAGGCTGTCACTACACTGACTGCGCTATCCCAGATCCAAAATGAAGGGTGTAGTATGTTAAAATAGGGCACTGTTGCTTCCTTCCACATTTCTTCTAAATCATGTGTCATCCAATGATTCAAATTTGTATTTCCTTCACAGAAAAAGGAATGTAGTTTAATAACCCATTAATAAACTGAATAATAATAAATGATAGGAGAATGTTCATTTCACTGACATTGTCAGCAGTAAAGAGATTCCAAGGAAATAGGCCCATGTTTGTAAGTAATATTTCATTCATATTTAATCACACAAGCTTCAGGGTCACCAATCTGTGGTTCTGAAATAGATCATATCCAAAGAAAAATGATAAGTTCTGGTCTAAAACCATGTAACTAAGATTGTGGAACCCAGTAAGTTGGCTCCAATGGTAAACCTTTAGAGTTCTGTTTGGGAGGTACTTTGTTTGAATCTCAGTTGGGACCCCTGCTATCCTTACTGAGGTTCTGCACCATTTGCCCAGTCCCTCCAGGCAAATTTCAGGATGGTACTTCAATTCAGTCCATGACCGCTTCCTTCCACATGATTTCCAATTAAGTAGTCAGTCTTTTTGTTAACACTGTATTGTCTTGAGGTACTGGATTTGTTACACCACAGAATAATAAAAATGATTTTAGCTTTCACTGAGTAATGTAATCACCTGTTACAGAATTGGACACAAAAGCACAGAATCTGTCAATGCTGTCACAGAAATACAAAAAAGATGCTACATTCCTCAACACCAAGTCAATGTACATGAAAGCAGCAGTTGGTTGCATCGCTGTTTTAGTGGTGTTCCTCTACTTCTGGGTCCTGTGAATTATCATGTGAAGACTGTTTAGAATGTGGCTGTGAAGACAGTACAAGACACAGCAATTCCTTTATTGCTCTTCCATTGCAAGTTGGTGAGCTTTTTCTGCTCTTCCCATGCCAGTTTCCTGCTCCTGTAGAGCAGCACTTGACTTCAACCTGCCACATTTTGTCCTCTGGTATAGTGTAAGTTGCAGTGGGTTAGGAATTAAAGGACTTGATGTGGTATGTTGGCAAGGAGCAGCAGTTTGGGGTTGTTGAATTCTTTAAATAAGTGCTAAGGTGGTATATAGTTTTATGTGAACTGACATTTTTACTGACACTGGAATGGTATTGGTGTTTTCAGTATAATAAGTTACATCAGTTTCTGTTGTTAAATATATCCTTATACATACACATTGATTTGTACTTTATATCTGCCTGGTGGCTCTGATTTCAGAGTAATTATAATGATTTGGCCAATATGCCACATCCAAAAGTTGCTTTACTGAGATGGTAAAGGTTTAAACTGTGATTATTTTCCCTTGCATTCAGATTTTTATTTGCAGCAGATGGTAACACTGTGGTTATGCCAGCACTTGTATTGTTGGGGTATTTACTGGTTGTAAATAAAGTAGTGCTTTCCTGGAACATGAATATATTCTCAATAAAGCAACTTTTATTATATTATTATTATTTAGGACCTCTTGTATATTGTGTGTGTATTCCATATAGAATTATGGATATATGGACATGGAGAGGGGAAATACACAATTTTATTTAATAAGCTTAAATTTACATTGTTTCCTCTCATTGTGTTTGTTGGTATAGTGTTTCAGGCTTGAGCTGTGACACGTATGAAGTCACTTTATAGGTGATAATGAATTGTGGCAAAATCTCAGGAGATATATGAGGGATCTGTGTTCAGTTTTCAGCAGTAGTGAGACTCAAACTGGTGAAGTTAACTTTAGGATATATTTATGGATAAAAGTAAAGTCAGAATCTACTTCACTGTGAAGATATCCATCAGATATTTCAAACATATCGTTCATCAACTGTGAGCTGGACTGGCTAGGAAATGGATTACAGGGCTTTGGTTTCTGGCAGGGCAAAAGATTCTTCTCTATGCCACCACAGATTCTGGGGCCTGTGCAATGGGTACTGGGCAATTTTCCCCCAAAAATAAATTGGCCAGAGTATGAGCTTGACCCTTCATTCCCATCTGGTGTGGGGGTTAACATGCTTGGAGCTATACCTCCATTGTATAATATACTTTCAAAATATGGTGCTTGGACACAAAAATTGTTGTATATTTTTTCTTACACTGATCAGTTCATTGACACCATTTTGTAATGTCTCTAAGGAACTTGGTCTTTAATTTGGGATATGTAAATTCTGAGAGTATAGATGGGTTACATTCATTGACGTGTATTTTTGCCTATATGAATGCACCCTTACGACATGATGCAGTTTTAAAAATTCTTTTGAGCTGAGTGCTTGTGTAATCAAAGCTGGAGTGAGGTGTGAAAGATGGTTTTGAATTTACCAGGAAAATGACTGTACTACGAATTGAGGATCCTTTCTTGCACTGTTCACCTGGATTTGGGGTCCTTTCTTGCCAATGGGGTGCAACAGTGTGTCCCATTTATCTGATTTTGGGTTCATGCCAAATGTGCATAAGTGTCCTGTCCTGTTTGAATTGAGAATCCTGTCTTGCCCAGTAGTGAACTAGGGTATTTGTGTTTGCTCACTTATTATTTTCATCAGCTCACCATCATATTCTTCATGCAGCACCTAGTTCCCTTCTGTGTGCCTGAGGTTGTGATTCACATGTTTCCTCCTATTAATTTTCCACTGTCTGATCATTCTGATCACTAGAATCACATCTTCTGATAAACTCTGGAATGTGCTGTTAGCAATATTTTCACATTTATTTATGTAGAAGGAACTGGATAATATGAATCACTATCATGTATTTACTGTTAAAGTCTGGATGCAATTTTATGTTAATTTCAGTCACAAGCTTGAAAATATGGAACCCTGTAATTTAAGTACTACCGTCATATAAATTGATCTTTAACAGCCATTAACTTCAGTCCACAGCTAAGCATACCGTTTCTAATTAGCACTGATATTTCTACTGCTAATGCACATGTCTAATCTGGTGACTGTTCATTTCTATTACATGACACCATTATTGCCTTGACGTTCATTTACCGTGGATACAAACAGATTGTAATGAACGGGAAATATATTTCATTTCACTTTATGGAACCAAGAGACTACTATGACTACACTTCATTCAAAGTGTAGGATTAGTAAAGGGTTAATCAAAATGGGAAGCACAGCAGATCATTGAAGGTTCAGATTATGGCCTACTAGGGTTCCCAGATACCTCGTTTTCTTCCGTGTTTTCACCCAAATTTTGTTCCTCTGTTTATTGTTTACCCAGAGTCGATAATTCTCCGTTTTTTTATTTAAGTCCATTGCGAATTATATTTCATTGGTTAAATATTATCATAAAATTTCTGTAATCCTTGGAAAATGACATTGTTATAGTTTCTTTCGTTATGTTGCATTTCGTGAATGTTGGCAACACTTGAGGTTCTAAACCAAAGTGGAGGTTGTTGGTGACAGTGTATTTTTAATCCGTTCCATCTTTGTTAGAGAGGGCTACGTAATATTTTTTTGTTCTATAAATGTGTAGTAGGCCTATGTAATACAGATGTGTAGTAGCATTTTGTAAGTTATGTAGTATGTTGATTATATTTTATAGCCTGTTAGTTGTGAAAAATGTCGTTACAAACGAGCAACGAGACATTGCTCCTTTTTTTATTTTACAGACTCTGGCAACCCTAGGTCTACCCCTCATACATTCATTCATACTTTTATTTCATAACTTTGTGGCACATTCGTATTTTATTTACAAGGCTAAACAACAATAGAGGAATATATTATTCTTTCTTTGTATTTCAACAATTTCATGCCAAAGTAATTATAGTAGGTGAATTTTTAGAGCGCTGTTGTATTGTACTTTGAGTTATAAATATTAAAATATCTAAGTTGTACCTTAATCCCCAAATGTAGCAGACAGCAGCCCTAAATACTGTGTTCACAAAGCTTAATAGGAATAGATGCTGATCTAGAATTAACACAGAAAGGACCAAATATATGTTTGTGTTTCAAAACGAGGGGTGGGGGGATCAGTAGAATTTTAGAATTCAGCGCTGTTCGTCTAGATATAATCATAGAATCCTTTGAGAAAGAAACTAACAAATTCAAATGATACACATAATGAAATAAATCTGAGAAGTGAATGCTACCAATGAATTCAGTAATTCACCCACAGTATCCTCTCTAGAAAGATAACATTTTTACTTACTGGTGCAAAACATGGTCTCTTAATCCAGGAAAGAACAGAGATTTAGGGTGTTTTAAGAACATTGGTGTGGAGAGGAATATTTGGTGCTGAACAAGATGAACAGGAACAAAGAAAATTACATAATGAGGAGTTCCAGTTTGTAAATTTTACCTGGTATTAAATTATGGGACATGCAGCACAAGAGGGAAATGAGAAATTCACACAGTGTTGATCATTAGGAAATCTGAAGCGAAGATGAACGAGATGTTAGGGAACAGATTGTGAATATTTGAACTTACTTAAAATAGGATCAAATGGCAGACCTTTGTAATGATGCTTCACAACAAAATTCTTCATCAAGGAAGATTATGTTACAGTTAGCTGGATGAGAAATGGAAACAGTAATCTCTTACCAATGCCATCAACTGTATACATTTCAATCTTACATCTCATACAATGGAGTCCATTATAATTACTGTGTAGTTACATAATTAAAAACATGAACCAATTAAAACAAATGTGCTGCTGTCTACAAGTTATGTTGGTGTTGCTTTCATATTATTACAGGCTATTTCATACACAGATTTATTCAAAACTTATGCATAATTTTAAATCTTCAAGACTTTTGTCTTATGAGCACATCATATTCTGGAATATCCAACTTTGGGTATTTCTTCTCGTTACTGATGGAAGTGTTATATTCATCTTCACTCTCAGAGTAATCGGAAGTGTTAAATAGTAAGTTGTTTTTATTTATGATGCTGGAGACACAATTCTTATCTTCATCTTCATCTGAAACAAAAAGTAATGCTATTTTAACAGTATTCTTTATGGTTCATTTAATGAAATTTAGTAGCATGTACCTGGAGGGACTGATGGAAATCATGAAAACCTTCAGCCAGAACAGCCAATCTGCAGCAAAGAATTTTGACCTGAGAGCTCCCAGATACAAAGGACTGCAATACTGAGTGGAAAATGTTAATATATGTATCATCATCACCACATGTTTTCCTTAGGTTTGCTTAATTTTGGAATCACTTTCCAGGAATCCTATTTTATTTGTAATGGCAGAAATCTCAAACTGGGGGGGGGGGTTTATTGGAAAAGAGCAAGGCAATATGTGGTGATGAATAATGATTGTTTAAGAACTCTGACCAGACTACCCAGTGTTCACTCAGTCTAAGACCATGTTCACCATAAAACTGCTGGACTACTGAACCGACAGTTATTATGTGTATTATAAATTTTAAAATGTTAGTATCCAGTATTGCTTAAGTAAATTATCTGTGCCTTCATATTAAGTAAACAAACAGTCTGATGTTTCTATCAGCAGGATTACAGTAGACAACTTGATCAACATTAGAACTGGTTTCTTCTGAGACTCACACCCATATTCATAATAACAGGTAACTTGAGACCAAATGCAGATGACAGCACATATCCTAGTATCATTATCATAAAGCGTAAGAACCCATTGTTTGAGTGTGAGAAAGAATTCCTCAGCACATATCATATATCCACATTTCTAGTTATTCTTTCAAAGAAAACTGGATTACATCACTAGCAACTTATTTCTTGTTTCCTTGATTTCTCTAATGACACTTTCTCAACTGCATAAGTTACACAGCACAAAATACAGTGCGTACAATCAAGTGCGCGCCGCGGCTGCAATTTGCCGTGAGTCATACCACCGCAGAACGGATGCAGTGGTATGACTCACGGCAAATTGCAGCCGCGGTGCGCACTTGATTGTACGCACTGTAGAAGTATGATTATAAATAATGCAGTGGGAAAATGAGAAAGGACGTGATTCTGTACTGTTTTACTGTCTCAAAATTGGACTAAGAAGACTGAGAAAATTTGTGAAATGTTCAGTATAATCACCAGTCTCCAGGCTGAGAATCAAACGTGGAATCTGTGGAACACAAGAGTGCCAAGACTTAATCACTACATCTGGATGTGAAGTCTAGCACAATTTTACAGTTACTGAGACAAAAAAGGGGGGGGGGAGAAGAAACTCCATGGCCTGTAGTCTGCAAGCAAATTATACCCACCAAGCAACTGCCGCTTGTCGGCGAAGTTAGTGCCAACTTCTGCAGGGTGTCACATGGTCAGCGCAACAGATCCCCACAGCCATTAATCTCGGTTTTCTAGACTGGAGCTGCTATTTCCTTGAAACAGCTCCTCAATTATCCTCACGAGGCTGAGTGGACCCGTTTCAGACCCACTACTTCTCAGAAAATCTGGTAGCGTCAGGAATCGAACCCAGTAGCTCTGACCACTAGACTACAGAGGTGGTCCTGACAGACCAAACTGCACTAACAAACTTGTATTCTTGTGGGACTTAAAAAGTGCAGCAGTGATTGGGGCAAACTGTTTTACTAGTATGTTTTTCTTACAGTTGTAGGTAACCTTTATATTTAAGTATTCCTGCTTCCAGGTTTTAATGTCACAGGCCACTTTCATACCACGTAAGTGGGTTACAGAGACTGATTTCATTACTTAGCATCATAAATATATGTATGCAATAAACACATCTTCCTGCACAGTTATGTACATCTGTTGGAATGATTTCCTATTAACAATGGGGCTCATATAATCTGCATCACAGGCTTAACTAATAAGGTGCACCTAACAAAACTTCGCAAAATCTGAAAGCAATGCAGCTGTATTAGATATAGGTATGTTACATGACAATGAGCCAGTCATGGTAGCCGAGTGGTCTAAGGCATGCTCTATCTTCGCTTGCTTGGAAACCGGGATCGTGGGTTCAGATCCCACTCGGCATGGATGTTTAGTGTGTGTGTGTGCATACATGTTTTCTATGTTTGTGTACAGGTACAGGCCTTGTGACGAGCTGATCACCCGCCCAAGGAGCCCTACTGAATGTCTAAGCTCTAGTAAATCAAAGTGAAACAGAGTTTTATGGAAGTAGGCCAAGGGCCAAATTGGGAGCTGTCACACAAAAGGGGGGAATATATATATATATGTGTTTCACTGAAAACATACTTTCTTCAGTACCACATTCAGAATAGGTCTGGTGGCTATCCATTCTGTTATCTAGTACATACTGGAAGTTCATTCTGTGCAATATGGTGACCAGAGTATGTAACTGACCACTCATCTAAATTTTTTTTTGTTATAAAAAAATGCGTGGAGCTTTATCACTATACCTCCTACACATATATGATGGCTAGATACAAGACAGGCAACTTCACTGATCAGTAATATAGCTCACCTGATCCCAGAATGTCAAATGCATCCTTGTGGTGCTTTAGAACAACATATATTGTAGGAAACTCTATTATTGTTTTATCCTTAAGATTATCCTTCAGGCTGAGTGAGGAGTCTAGTTGATGAAACCGCATTCCTGACCTCTTCTCAGCTTTGAGCAATAACAAGATGCCACTGGGACCAGCAGACTGGTAGTACTGCAACTTATCTTGATACAGTGGGTCACATTCCTTTGGGTCCAGGTAAATGTTCAAAAGTTTTGATAGTGGCTCACTTTCAAGTAATCTGAAACAATTTGCTGCTTATTATTAGATGTTCACAGAACTGTGTGAGTTCTGAATTTCCCTTATTTTCCTTCACCGTGAGTTCACAATCACGTGCTAGACATTTTTCACCATCTGCAAACAGCAGGAACAAAAGGGAACTGAGAGGAATTAAGTATGTGCTGTTATCATAGAAAATTGTTACATTTCAGAACAAAAAGGCAAGAACATCTAGAGAGAGGATCACATTAAAAAAATTTAGATGTGTAAGAGAGGATAAAAGAAAACAGAAACATTAGCAAACATGCCTGCTCTTACTGGAATTTTTGTAAACTAATGAATTATTCACAGAGATGTTGGGTTTTCGGACTTTATCCATTGTCCTGGTTTTAAGATAACTAAGAAAAACACAACGTTTCGGAAACTGGATCTGTTTCCGTCCTCAGGTGAGGGGAAAAAACCCATTCTGTTGGGTCAATCACTGGACGGATGAATTATTGACAACCTTGTATGTATATTCCTACAATGATTGCCTTTTTGGACATTATCCATCATCCTGTTTTCCATTTAAAAACGTTTTGGTGGATGGACTCTGTCTCCATCCTCAGGTGAAGGCCTACTCATTTGGGCCCAATCAGTAAAGCTCTGGACACCAGAGGGGGGGGGACACATAAACCAAATACAACAAATCATCAGCAGGAGTTAAGACAGACATTACAAAACTCCACACACATGAAGTCTAGCACCTGTGGCCACACATAATGTAATGGCCAGAGTCATAGTATTACCAAACTAGAAGCTAACACTGAACAGACAAGTTCTAATGGAAGGAAATATTATAAAGTCAATGATATGACATTGCTTATCTACCTGACAGACACTGTAAAGAGATGGGGACTAGTTTTATTGATTGAGCTAAACTGCATAAGCCTTTATCTGAGGATGGAGACAGAGTCCAGCCTCCAAATATTGTTTTTAAATAAACAGGATAATGGATAACATTCAAAAGTCCATAATTGTATTAATATACGATCTTCACATACCTTTAGAGCTTACATATATTACTACTTGGGAAAAAAATTGTTATGTAAGTCTTGTGAATATTTATTCCCTGGCCAGCCTTATGCTGTTTACCACATAATGATAACTTTATCTATTAAACAGTTGTCAGGTAATCAAACAGCGATGGACATAGATCATAGGCTCTAAAACTAGTTATGACTGCCAAGAAATTAAGAGCCCAGTATAATAAAATTTTATACATGTTGATAACAATAGAATTAGATGGAACGATTAATGGTAGTCTGTAAGGAGAGTTCATTCGTCCCTGCCATTCTTCAGTGTACCATCACCACCAAGATCACCCATACTATTAATAATCTGCTGTTATAATGTTAATGGAACAAGACCATCTGAACAAGAAGTATTGGTGGAATTATGTACCATGTGCTCTAATAAAGGGCAAAGGTTTAGGAGACCATGATACCAACTCAGAATGTGTTAAAATACTCTATTTAACAAAGCTGCCTGTAATAATATACAAAATTATGAATACCTTAATCCCATAAAACAAAGTGTAACTGGGAGTGTGCAGATCTCATGAGGTCTCAGGCTGTTTTTCAGGTCTACTATGTATTTTTAGAATATAACAGACCTATACATATATTATTAAACATAAGAGATATGAAATAGTGAACATGAGCTTCCATGAATAACTTTCAGAATTTGAGGGCCTTCACAACAAAAGAAAAGTGGAAAATTGGATGTCAGAAATATGATGAATGATATATAATTCAAAGATATGCATCATAGTTCACTCTCCACTGATATAGGGCCATATTTCAATTGATTTCATAGTCCCAATTGAGAAAAGGATGGGATCACAGTTGTAATTAGGATGAGAAACTGTGACTTGCAATTTATACACAAATACAAAAGCTCTAGCATCAAAATCTTAAATGTATAATAAATAGTCATGCAACCAATTTGATGACTTAAGTAACTCACCTTCTTCCAACGCATTTTATATTGTCAGCCTGAGGGAAGATCCATTCTACCCTCCAATAAATCAGTTGTTCCTTCCAATTAAAGTATGTTGAATTTGCTTTACTACGTGTGAAATTGTGTGGTAGGAAATGTAAATTTGTTCTTCTTCTGCGAGCTGCTGCACGTAGTTTATAGAGATTCTGAAAGTTGTGATACATGTCAAAATTTTTCTATTGTAGCATACTAGAAGATTGTTGAAAATTTATGTTAGGATCTCATGAAGGCCAATATGTATGTTACTCTCTCCCATTTCAATGCCTTGCCCATCTCTCCATACAAAATTTATTGGGATGTGTGATTACCCTATAGGTGAGTTGAAATAACAAGTTGGCTTGAAAAACAAATTGTCTGAGCCTTCCATAGTAATTTTTCCTGTTCATGACAGTTATTTGAGTCATCTCAGGTTGGAAAACATGAAATGCACATTGAATTTTGATGGGGGATCCTCTTGGAAGCCCAGAAAGGGCTTACAGACGTACAAAACCAGGAAACATGAGCTGGATTGAATTGCTTCAGGATTACAACTGTTGACAAATTTTGATGTGAACTACAAAGAATCCTCAGGTTCTATTACTCCCTCAACCCAATCAAGAAATTCACCTTGAAACTTAATAAATTTACACATCTAGATCTACAGGTTATATTACATATCTATTTTTAGTACAGTAGGTCTGAGAAAGAAAGCAAAATTTGATTTGAGCCTCATGCAGAATAGGGGTTAATTAGACTGATACAACTAAAAGTATATTTACATAACTCACAGAAAAAAAAAGCTATCCCTTTAACAGGCCACAGAGGCTGATAGGGTTGTGGGACACTGAGGCTCCCACATATTTTCTAGACAACTGGTTCACACATGGTGGTGAGGTTGTCAGCCTTATGCACCAAATAACTCAATGTAGATCTCAAATACTGGGTTCAACTGAAATCCACTGCATAGTTAAGGTGACGAAATGTGCTGTGCAGTGGATAGATGAATGGACAGACAGAAATGATCTCCCACTGTCTTTCCTTTTCTCATTAAAAAAAAAGTACTCTTGAGAAGATTGCACTAACAATGAGACATAAGAAACAATAAATTAAAAGTGACTACAGAAAATGACAGATATTTCCATTGTGATAACTAATCCTCCAACAAAGTTCAATTTTACCGATGAGTAATCCTGTCAGTATGCAACAGGTTAAGTGCATAAACATATACTTACAATAGGCAATTCTTTTGATGCAGTGTAATGCTTTGATGGATCTCTAGCATATGTTTCAACATGTCGTGTTGTTTCCTCCAACAGTCTGTAATCTATAATACAGGGAAATTCATATCATAAAATATAATAAATAAGTTTATTACATTATACACCTGAACTGCTCTTTCCTGCAGAACATCCTTCAGTTATAAAATACTGTGGTAAAATATAATTCAAAGAATCAAAATTTTAAAAATGATCTTAGGGATATACTCACTGTAAGTCATCTTGACTAAAATGGCTTGGGAGGGGATCCAATGGCGATGGTCAACTGCTTGGGGAATACCTATACTTGGGGGGGTTAATTATGCATGCCTTTCAATTTAAGTATTGTAAGAAACATGAGTAAATCATAAATCATAAACAGCCATGGAAAATAATCTTGCATATGAAGAATGCTGTCTTCTGTGATGTGGCACTGTGTAGATCGTGTTCGCACAAAATATACACGGTGCCACATCTCAGAAGACGTCATTCTTCATAGTCACTGCCATGGAAACCTCAAATCTTACATTATGTTTTTTTTATTTATTTATTTGGTCTCTATAGATCATTGTTACATGATATACGACAAGTCGGTTGATGTACAATGGCTGATTACAATAAGAGTATAAAGTTACAATACTTGAAATTGTTTACAATAGATTACAGTAGATTAGAATAGTTAAGATTTCACATAGTGTGAGGTGGAATCCATATTAGGTCCCCTCGGCACGTTGGCTTCCATATGTCCTATTGTACCTGTACTGGTGATAATGCTTATGGAGAATTGCATATATTGTAACATTACAGAAATGGTTACTGTTGTTACCAATGTGACATAAATATCTGTAAATGTTGTTAAAACTAAAATAAACTTATATTACACTGATCATAAATATGCAAAATAAAATGAAAGATGCCAAACCTGACCTAATGTCCTTAACAGCTATTCTGGAGTAATTGGTGTCTTTTACTGTATGTTGGCATCAGTGAACAATACTGCAATGACTGTCTTAAATAGTTTTCTCTGAAAATGTTATGCAACATTTCTGAACTTTGCTACAAATATATTCTTAATAAAACATAAATTTAATGGGAATGAAGTATGGCACAAGGTTTGAAATCCTTGAGATTCATAGGTACCAAATCATTACTAATTAACTTCACAGATACACAAAATTACAAATAAAATGTATTTACCAAGTCTATGATATGTGTAAAGCTAAAGTTTCCTTGGAATAACATGAGGACTAAAGGTTCAACATGCTCTAGATGACAACAAATAAAACATGTGATCTGTTTCATGCCTTGCCTTGTAGGAACTGACTCAGTACCCCTATATAATTAACAGGAAACCCTGCTCTTGCTGGGAGAACTCCAAATGTCCCACCAGCTGCCAGACTCTTTACTGCTTTACTCAAGATACAACTCTTACTAACTCAACTGTCACTTCACTGTAGTTATTTGAATATATAAAATTATTCTTGTGTAGTTATGTGAGATCCATTATTACAGAAATATAAATAAATATACTACGCCACATACCACTTAATAAATCTAAATTTGTGAACTCCGAAATTCGTTTGTATGCGACCTTATTCCTCTGACCACTACAACCCAGCTCCTTTTTGTGATTGTTTACACATGCTAAACAGCATGTCTTAACTTCACATCTAGGACATGTATATTTGGCCTCTTGATCATTGCACACTTCACATTTACCCAACCTACAATAAAACATATATACACATAAAGAAACGTTCGAGTTTCATACTATTTATGTAAAATGACTGTATGACTGGAGTTCTGAATTACATTTCGTGCGAAAACGACATAACCACAAAAATACTGAGTAACACTGTCATTATATTTTATAAATTCAGAAAACTATAGAAATATAAAGTAAGCATTGAAGTTACTCCCTATAACACAATTATAAAAGTCGCGAAACAAAAAAAAGTGTTTACACAATTTGTATCTCTTACCTCCCGCCACACAATATAGACGCCATCTTTGCGTGTACATCGACCAACATCGACGTAAATTCACAAATTGCTCGAACAGAAACTTTTGTGATCCGTGGAGGCGATCTACTAACAGTAGTAGCTAGTGGTAAGTACTGATCCGTGGTGGTTGCTATCAAATGACAGCGTGTTCATTGAAAATCAACCGACATTTCGGAGGAACATATCGCCACCATATTCAGATTCGACGAATAAGCTGAGCAGAAAACTTGTGTGTGAGCTACATGCTGGTTTCTTGTTTAGCTTACTTTTTGAACCTGAACATGGAGGCGATATATCCATCCGAAACGTCGGCTGACTTTTACTAAGCTACACAGCATTGCATCCCAGAAGACAGAACTCTTCAAGATATCAAAATACATACCATCCTCAGGACACGATGACGAGAATTGATGCCATAATTTTCATGGTCATCCATGAATATGAAGGCAGTAAGTGGGGATCAGCGATACAAGTTCTACTTGCGATGCTGTGGCAATTTTGACCGATGTAAATCGAAATCTGTGACCCGTGGTATCATGCTGTTATGGCTCATGATCCTCATGATGCTCATGATCGCTCATGATTTCCAATCGATTAGAAAAGTAAAATGGCAGCGAACAGTGGTGGTGTAGAGTGGGCCTCAATAGTCAAGCCAATTTTGGCTGCATCATATGGTTCTTTTAACAAAAATGATGTTTTGGAGCTTGTGAAGGCCATCAACAGAAGGTAACTTGAATATAATTTGTGTCTTCATAATATTTTCGTTAAATTGTTCAAAATTTGCTTCTTGCTGACGGGACGTAATTCTCAAGTATGAAGTTTAATATATATTTATGTATGTGGTACAGTAGTACGAAGGTTCCTGTTACACTTTCTACACATTTGACTGAGTCATCGTTCAGTGTATAGGTGAAGGTAACAAGATCCTTTAATGAGCACCTACCTTTACTTTTGTGAACTTCTGAAGTGGCACTTTGGGTTTTGATAGTAATATTTTAATAGTTAACAGCCCGATATTCTATTCTAATTTTCGTGCATATGTCACAAATTGAATTTTATCCAAAGTTAGAGAAATCTGCGCAGGAGTTCTTTGAACTTAAATTTCTTATTATTCAATGTTGCACAATTCAGACCAAACACTTTCATACATGGCATCATAATGTTTTTAAAGATGGACCAGATATTGCTTTTGAATTTGAGCCTTTGAGCCATGTGCATGTATGATTTTTTTTTGTACTGACTTACAAATATCGTGTAGTTTTGAAAGCAGAGGACGATGTTTTGGAGGAACATGTGTCATCATCATCAGGGTCAAAGTATGTAGGTGCGGGACTTGTCTCAGTTATACATACATATTGCAAGGAAGATGGTTATTAGCCTGAGGCAAGGGTAAACAAAATTGAACCTGTGTAAGATTTGAGGCTTTCACGGCGGTGACTATGAAGAAAGCAGTCTTCTGGGCTTTGGCGCCGTGTATATGTGGTGTTAACCGACGTTTCGGAGGAACGTATCGCCCCCATCTTCAGGGTTGAAGAAAAAGTATAGGTAAATCTGCAAGCGACAACACCGTGAGACACGGTAACGC